GAGGCCTGGTGGGGAGCGCCTCCCAGGAGATGGGGCGTGAGGCTGAATGGAAGGTGAGCCTCCTGGAAGCGAGAGTAGTTGCCGGCTCACTCCACTCCCACCTGGGCTCGCTTCTGTGTCCCTGGAGTCACCTGCTGTCTTCCTGAGCTCCTCTCCTGTGCAGTGCCGGACAGAGGCCTCCCCAGGTGGGACTTTAAAGAATGAGCCTAGGGAGCAACTGAGGGCTCTGTAGCTGCCCTCTGTAGTTGCTCATTCTTCAAAGTCCCACCTGGGAAGGACTTTTCCTAGGGGCCCAGCGTGGTAGCGTAGAAGTTAAAGTCCTCGCCTTGCACACACCGGGATCCCATATGGTTGCCAGTTCCAATCCCAATGGCCCTGCTTCCCATCCAGCTCCCTGCTTGTGGCCTGGGAAAGCAGTCGAGGATGGCCCAAAGTCTGGGGACCCTGTACCCACATGGGAGACCCAGAAGAGGTCCTGGCTCCTGGCTTCGGACTGGCTCAGCTCCAGCCGTTGTGGTCACTTGGGGAGTGAATCATCGGATGGAAGATCTTCCTCTCTGTCTCTCCTCCTCTCTGTATATCCGCCTTTCCAACAAAAATAAATAAATAAGTCTTAAAAAAATATTTTTCTAAACAAAATCACTCCTGTCTTCTGATTCACTCCCCAAATGCCAGCTAGTGTTAGAGCAGGGCCAGGCTGGAGCCAAAACTTAATCCCAGTGTGCCGCGTAGGTGGCAGGAGCCTAGTCGCTTGGGCCAGGAGTCTCCAGTAGCAGAGAGCTGGATTCCGGAGCCAGAGGTGAACGTGAAACCCCAGGCCTCTGATGAGGAACATGAGTATCTGAACTGGCATATCAGCTACTAAGCCAAATGCCCATCCCTTTAGTTTCATTTGAGAGGTTAGCACATAAGTCAATTGCATTTACCCGCAGAGAATTGCAAGGCAGACAGACTTATGGAAAGGAGGAGTAGTTCTGACTTGGCTGTTTTTTTATTAGACTCCATTTAAGTAAGGAGTTGTTTATTCATTCATATTGTGAAGCTGCAATAAGCCCCTGGAGGGAGATTAGAGTGTACAGCGGAGAATAAGAAAAGCAAGCTTGGTTCTGTTCTCTGCCATTAAGAAGTCTGAGGCTGTCAAAGATGTTGTGGCGTGGACATCTGCCTCCTGCAGAACCCTAGACCAGCTCCAGGAAAGTCATTGTGGATGGAGCCATAAAAAGGACAGGTGCGCAAAGAGGCCGAAGTGCAGGGCTCAGTGGCCAAGTAGCTCAAGGCTACTTGGATCATTTCAATTACAGCTCAGGTTTGAAACTCACAGGCCACAAGCTTTCTACGTCCTGATTCACAAAAGAAAACTCAGCCATTCCCACCCCTGCAAGAAATCCAGTGGAGGTGGGGCGACTTCCTGAATGGACAGCGTCTGCCCTAGCAGGTGGCACCTGGGCCAGTGCTGTCAATGAATGAGCTATAGGGGAGAGCAGAAATGGTCCTTACTGCCACGTTTCAGACAAAAATATCTCAGATGGATTGACATCTAGAGGAACCTGCGGGGAAAAGTGGAAACATGTGCCTCTACCACATCCTCGGCAGACAGCAGCTTGGCTGTGAGAAACACAGTGGCTTGAAAACAGCCCAGGCATGTTCACTGACACTGGGTTGACAGAGCTGTGTGACTCTGGAGACTCCTGCAGGAGGAGGGAGGCTCAGCCTTGCCCTTGTGTTTTCCTTGGGCTCCCCAGATAAGCCAGGACCAGTAACCCAACCTCAAGGTCCTAAACCTTCCACATGTACAAAGTTCCATGTCACAGTTCCCTGAAATAAGAAGCAGGACCCATTGTCGGGGGTTGAGGTGCCATGGGTTATTAGACGACTGTGTGCAAAAGGGCTCATGCTGAGAAGCTGTGCTCTCAGAATGAGTGGTCCTAGGTGCTGTTTGCGTGGCGTCGCTGGTGATGGAATGGGAGCAGCCAGCTCTGTGTCCACTGGTCACTAGGCAAGTTGCTCAGCTTGCCAGGCCTCTGGCCCTGCTGCTGCTTCTCACCAACCCTATGTGCCTGACTGTCAGCCACTTCACGGAGGCTTGGGATGTGTCCTGCAGGAATAAAATAGAAATTACATCAATGTCATCCTCCATGGTGAGGAACAAAAGAAACTCATTTTTTCCTGGGGATCAGATATTGCCTCAGGAGGGGTGGGTACTGAGCTGGTTCACCATCAGGGACTGGTAGATCTCTGCCTCCTTAATCTATTAACTGGTACCTGGAAAGAAGCAAGGAACTGATAAGATTATAAAAGGAGGGGAGAGGAAGGGGTCAACTGGAGTCTCCCAACATTGCCTGGGAGAGGATGTACTTCCAGATGGCTGCCCTTCAGGCATCAACCACCTGCCCCTGAGCCACAGTCACTGCCGTAACTGTTGTGAATGAAGCCTCCTGGTTGCCTAGGAAAAAGCAGCAGGTACAGAGCTGCAGTGGGATTGGAGCGAGCCGTTCCTACTCCTGTTGGCATTGATGCACCCGGAAGCCTGCCAGACACAGGGAGCCAGTGAGGGATCCCAGAAGTCCCCATCAGAGAGGCTTGGAGTCCAGGCCACCTGGACCTCATGTCCCTCAATCCCCTCACTGCAAGATGAGGTTCCATTCCATAGCAAAGGTCCTCTCAGTTGAGGAGCCCCTTATCCTGAGATGCTTGAACCCATAAGTCTCAGTTTATAGGTCCCCCAGCCTCAGATTTTAGAATATTTTCATCTGCATGACAAGGTATCTTGGGATAGGATACATATCTACACATGAGATTCATTTATATCTCAGATGCCTTCTCCATGTAACCTGAAGTTCATTTCATATGATCTTGCTAACTCTTTGAGCAGGAAGAAAGATTTCATGGCGGGTAATTCCACCCATGGCATCCTGTGGCCACTCTCAGAGTTTCAGATTTGGGAGTGTTTTCATTATCAGATTTGTTGGGGTGGTGATAGGGAGGATGTTCCACAAATAAAACCAAGTGGAAACAGGAGTGGGACCCCAGCGTGGGCACCTTGAACCTCACAACACTGCCTTCTGACTGTGCCTGACTCTGTCCCTTTTAAGGAAGCAGATTTAAGGCTGGAAAGTAACTACCAAAGACCCAGGCAAATGGGCACTTCCCCTGCTGGGGTGGGACTTTAATTCATAGCACAGGTAGACACAAATCAACCTCTGGGGCCGGAGGGCTTGGCAGGACCGGTATCAGGGCAGGGGGTGGCAATAGGAAACCAGTACAGACACAGTGGGGAGAATGGAGTGTCCCAATGGGGCCCAGAGGGGATTCTACCTCAGGGAGAACAGAGTGAGAAGACAAATCCTGTTATACAAAGGGGATTTGAATTTTGTGGGGGTGGCCCTGGAGTGTTGGAGAGGCTGGGCCTCAGAAACTGGTGGCTAGACCTGGAGGGCTAAAGAGAGAGGTGTGAGAAGTTCTCCAGTGGAGACGGAAAAGCCAGCAGGAGCAGAGCCAAGTTTATGCTGCTATGCTGGGTACACAGGAGGTGTGTTGGCTTTGTGTTACCTCAATGATGGTCAAATAGAGTGCTGGTCCCTCAACGTCCAAACCCTGAACCTCAGCCAGCCCCAGCCCTGGCCCTCTGCCCACTGCCATGTGTGGCTGACTGAAGGCCATAACAGGGAAGCTGGGGTGTGTGCTATAGGCCCTGCAATAGCCAGGCCTGGGCAGGGTGTTGGAGGTAAGTGGGGATGATCAGCTACATGGAGTCAGACACTTATGTCCCAGTGTGGAGTACTGGGCAGTGCCCATACTAGCCAAGCTCTGAGCATCCCCAAGGTGGTGACACCGGGAAAGGACCACCTGCTTAGGATGCTGATGGATGGATCAGCATCCTAAGGATGGATTCAGGAAATTACCAATAAGGATGGATTCAGGAAATTACCAGGACAGGCATGGGATTGGGTGTGGAGAGGGGATGAGAGAGTCTAATGTTGACCATGAGGAGGCCAGGTGCAGAGGTCAAGTGTGGATTGGCTGAGGCTTAAGTGCCTGTTGGACTGCCAGGTAATTCCTGACTTTTAGATCCTGGGCTTAGGGAGACCCTCTGCAAGGCAAGGCAAAGGAGCAGGCTCCTCTGGCCAGTCCAACTGTCACCCCAAGTCTCCTAGCCCAGAGCCCCAGGATTTCTCTGGCCACACCCTCACAATGCACAATTGCCTCCAGAGCAGTTGTCTCCATAGAAATTGTCCAGAGGCAAGTTCTCTCTGCCTTTCTGAAGAAGCCACACCTCCACTGGGAAAAGCATTTGTCCAAGAGGAGCTCTCCCATTCTGCCAGTGAGAAAAGCAGCTGCAAATAAACTCACCTGTAGTTTGACCAAGGCTCGCCATAGGCCGCAGATGAATTGCTGAGATGCATTTAGTAACAGATAGAGCCAGGCACGTCTGTTGTGTAAGCACTTTCTTCTTGGAGCCACCAGTTTCCAGTAGCAAGTGGGAATTGTTGTCTTGTGTTCTGGTTCTTTGGAAGCTATGACGTCACAGCCCATGATCTCTACATGTTGGAGACAAACACTGCTGGCTCTCTGCCATGCTGATCCTGTGGAACAGCAGCAGGTGTCCTTGATGGGATTTGTGCCATCCCCTGGTGTCGCAGCATACCCTGTAGAGATGTCGTGAGCAGCCGCCAGTAGCCATAAGCCCTGCCCAGTCTCCAGGCGTGTGCTCACACATCAGGGCCTTTTGTTTTGCTTCTCCTGCCCCACTGTGCATGTCATCACATCATTTACGCCCTTCTCAAGCCTGTGTTCTGTTTCATGGTCATCATGTTTGTAGCAAAGGGCCCTGCAAAGCATAGTTCTCATTAAGGATTGTTAGAGACGCCTTAGTTTGTGTTGCATCAATGTATACATGCTGTTATCGCCCACATTCATCAGCCAGCTCCCTCAGCATCCTTAACCAGCTTACTTGGTTTAGATTCCTTCTTGTCACCTGCTGTTACATCTTGTTTACACAGGGATTTTGCTTACGTGGCAAGGGACAAAGACACAAGAATTTTGAAATGTCATGTATTTCGATGTGACACGCCAGCAAAAGCCATCGCCACAAGCCTCCACGAAATCTGTTCCAAGGTAAAGTGGGGCCGAGCACAGCCATCTGCCTTTCTCTGCTGCTTTTCCCAAGCGGGTTTAGGGGCGCAGTAGGACAGGGGAGTGTGTACCATGCTTGCACCTGGGGTGTAAGGAGGTAAGTGTTGTTCAGGCTGCTACTAAAGTAGTTGCCTTAGCATCCACGGATGCTTGAGTCCCTGATGTGATGTGAAGCATTTCACATATAACCTCCTATGATACTGTAAATCGTCTCCAGGTTCCTTTCACTATCCAGAGCCATAGAAATGCTATGCAAGTACTTGCTACACTCTTTAAGGGGTAGGGACAAGAAAAACATCCGTGTGTTCAAGTGTAAAAGCAGCCAGGCTGAGTCTCAGTGTATCCGCAGTAATGTTTTCCATCTGCAGCTGGTTAAATTTGTGGTGTGAAAAGTGCAGATGCACAGGGCGAGCTGCACACTCACTGGGAGCCTGGGGCTGCTCTCAGAAAGGCTGCAACAGGAAAATGAGCTCTGTTCCTCTAATAGCCCGGGTGTCTGTGCCTGTGTGTGAGAGAGACACCATCCCTGTGTAACATGCACCTTGACTATGTTTTCCCATCCCTAGATCATGGCCGAGCGAAAGAACGCCAAAGCCCTGGCCTGCAGCTCCTTGCAGGAGAGGACCAATGCAAACCTGGATGTCCCTTTGCAAGGTAGGGGGCGGCCACCTCTCCTGTCTTCACACGACACTTTCCACCCCTGTGAGAGTGAAGGGGTCTCAGATGCTTGTATGACGTTCCTCATTTCCTTCGACGACATGCCTCACTCGGCAAACACATGCTGAGCTCACACCAGGGGTCTTAGCGGGACACAAGGGCTGGGCTGGATCAGATGTCACCAGATAACCCCATGGGTATCATTGCTAGTGGTTTTCCACCTCATGTGCAGCCCAGTGTAAGGGCCAGCTAGCCTAAAAATATGTGTATTGACAGTTGGGGGAATGCTTCTCTTGCTTTTGCTGTGTTTCTGGGCCCTTGTGATTCAGTATTTTCTGGGACTTAATCACACATGACACAGAACATCAAAAAGCACTTACAGAGCATGCATCAAAGTGGCAACAGCAGCAGCAGCAGCTTGCTCACATGTCCCAGCTCCTGTCTTCTGATCTTCCCCCACCTTGCCATGAAAGCCCAGCAGGGGTCTGCCCCACAGAGCCTCTGGGTGCGCAGGAAGAAGAGCTGTGCATCTGAAACAGTCGCTGCATTTGTGCTCGGGAGCACGGGGCCGTATGGCACTGGGCGTTCGAAGCGTCCCAGATGACATGCAGCGCTGGCTGCTTGTGCGTGTCTGCCTCTGGACAGCCACTGAGAAAGATGTGGTGCTTTGTTCCCTACAGTAGACTTTCCAACACCAAAGACGGAGCTGGTGCAGAAGTTCCACGTGCAGTACCTGGGAATGCTGCCTGTAGACAAACCAGTCGGTATGTACCACCTGTGTTCTGTGTCGTAGAGCTCCTGGGAGGTGTACACACACACACACACGAGAGCTGTTTCACAGCATGGCCTTGTCTTGAATCAAGCCACCCCACCACCACCCATTACCTGCTTCTATTCTTGTCCCCTGGTCAGGTGGGCAGGTAGAAAGTTCCAAAGGAGCCTTCATACCCTCCTTTTGTGGAGTAATCCCAAGTGGCAGACACAGCATCCAGCCCATATCTCAGTGAAGCTCAGCTGCTCTGCCATAGCAAGCTGACAGGCAGCTGGGATGAAAGAGCCTGTGGGGAACTCAGACCCCTCGTACCCTGCTGCTAGGGCACACCTGCTTTGAAGAAAAGTGTAATGGTTCCTCAAGGTTCAACAAAGCTCCCTGGGTCCCAGTGACTTCACCCTCAGGCCTGGAAGCCAGAGCACTGAAAGCACCTGGCCACACAGGTGTTCCTAGCAGCAACATTGTTAGTAGCCAAAAGGTGAATACAGCCCAAATGTCTTTGATAAATGATGGCTAAAATGAGGTCGTTCCATACAGAGGGAGTCGGTTTGACAAACACACTAAGCATGGCTGCCACTTGAAAACATCACACTGAGTGAAAGTGATTAGTCACAGCAAGCTACACGGCACCTGCGGGATGATGACGGCTCTCTGAATAGACTGAAAAACCACTGAACCACATGCTATCAGTGAGTGGATTCTGTGTGAATCCTACCACAGTAGAGCTGGTACCATCTTCTTCCTCCTCCCTCCCCCCGAAAAGGCCAGGAATGTCCACCTGCCCAGGGAAAGGCGCCGTGCTAACATGACCTTAGTTAAATAAGAGGATGCAGCAAGGCCGGGCTGTTGGGACAGGTGCTGGCTCCTTTGGAGCCTCTTTCTGAGGATGCGCACCTGAGGACTGCCTACGGCCTCCAGGCTGGGGCATCTGCTGAGTGGGGAGAGAGAGACCCTGGACCACCATGCCCTGATCAGACAGGACAAGCCTCAGTGGATGACTGGAGATGCCCACAAACCCTCTTCCTGGTGGAGAAGCTGCACTACCTTTCTTGTAAGCACATCTGAGGCTGTGCCCTGCATTGTCTCCTGGCACCACCATGGGCCCACACTTGAGAGAGAGGACTGCTTCAGGGCGTTCTCACCTGTCCTTCCCTTCCATAGGCATGGACACCCTCAATAGTGCCATCGAAAGTCTCATGACCTCATCCGACAAGGAGGCTTGGCCGTCGGTGAACATGAACGTCGCTGATGCTACTGTGACGGTCATCAGTGGCAAGGTGAGCAGGCATCCTGGCAGGGGTTGGACTGTCTGGTGAGCTTTCAGATTGAGTTGTCTCCTCGCGAAACTAGGAGAGGAACACAGGAGCTTGACCTCCCAGGAGTCATGCCTACATGTCATGAAAATGGCCTTCCAGACAGGGGGTTTGGCCTCATGGTTGGCACTGATCACTGTGCCTGCAGCCCACATCACACTGCCTGGGTGCAGTCCTGGCTCCACCGTCCCCCCCCCCCCAGCTTCCCTAATGCAGACACTGGGAGGCAGTGGTGACGGCTCCAGTACTTGGTTTCTTGCTACCCTCATAGGGAATCAGGATGCAGTTCTGGGCTCCCTGCTCTGGCCTGACCCAGTTTGGCTGTTTTGGGTTTTGGTGCAGTGATCAGCAGATGAAAGATTGATTGCATGTGTGTGCGTGTGTGTATCTCAGATTAATGGACTGATTAAATGATTCGGTGGTCTTATTTTTGAAGAAAGAATTCAGCCCTATCTCTGGGCCTCAGGTTGTGCCCCTTCTGCTTACCTCTGGACCCGAAACTTCTACTCTGGGCTTCTCATCTCGCCCAAGAGGTTGAGCCCTGTGCGACTGGTGCCTGAGTGACAGGAATGCAGCTTGCTCAGCAGCTGAGAGTTCTGGTCCTTTCTAGTGCCTCAGTGCTAACCAAGCTGACAGGGGTCAGGACACCAAAGGTGCATCCTTTAGGAAAGACCCTGGGTGCTGTCTGTAGTGGAAGGGGTCATTCGTCCTCTGGGTAAGAGGGCAGCATCAACCTCCACCCATATTATCCCATTGCTATGGAGGACACTGAAGCACAGAGAGGTGAAGCAACTTGCCCAGCATCACACAGCTGACTAGACCAGCTCTGGGGAGGCTGCTCCTGTGGTCTGCCTCTGTCTCCCGGGGGTCACCTTCATACCCAGTTCACCCTTGGCAGAGGAGCAGAGAGGTTCCCTCACCTGCAGTGCTGGAGGTGTGGACCAACTCAGAGTGTGTATCTGGGGGTGAGTGTTTAGGGCAGCGGCTGAGTCATTCGCACCTGTATCAGTGTCTGGGTGTGAGTCCCAATTCTGCTCGACCCCAGCTTCCTGATGATGCACAGGTGACGGCTCAAGTGATGGGTTTCCTGCGACTCCCATGGGAGACCTGGTTTGAGGTCTTAGCTCCCAGCTCTGGCCCCTGACTGAAAGCCATCGTAGATATCTGGGGAGTAAAGCAGCAATCTGGAGGCTTTCCGTCTGTCTGTCTTTTAGCTTTTTAGAAAATGGCATCTGGTGGGTGCAGATGATGTAGCATTGTTAACCATCACAAGATTGAATTATGGAAGCATTTCTTTTTTTAAAAAAAGTTTATTATTTAGTAGAGAGGCAAAGTTATAAAAAGAGCAATGGCGAGACAGGAAAAGAGAGCTCTTCCACCTGCTGGTTCATTCCTGAGAGCTGCAACAGCCAGGGCAAGGCAAGACCAAAGCCAGGAGCTGCTTCCAGGTTCCCCACGGGGGTGCAGGGCCAGGCATTTGGACAATCCTCTACTGCTTTACCCAGATCGTTAGCAAGGAGCTGGATCGGAAAGTGGAATGGCTGGGACTCAGACCAGCAGTTATGTGGTGTGCCAGCATTGCGGGCGGTGGCTTTTTGCCCACTGTCACAGCACTGGTTCCCCCAAGCATTTCTTTACACTGCCCTTCAGGGATACCATGTTGCAGGAAAGGGGGGAAAATGATGTGGCAACTTTTTACTTTACCTGGTTTGAGTGTGACTGAATGGGGTCTGTGTTACTTAGGCAAGAAGATTGGATGGAGAAAGAGCCATACAGGAAAGTCCTTTCTCCTGGAGGTGAGGGGTCAAGCAGTGCCTCCCCCAGGACACTCACAGACCCATGGTCAGTGGGTTGAGGACACAGTCCTGTGGCACACCACTACTGCAGTATGTTCCGAGAAGGCAAGCCAGTGTTGTGCTCGTGGCAGAGTGGCCCGTACCTGCAGCGGGCAGGGTGTGAGCTTCCCTGGAAAACACACAGGTCATCAGTGCATCCCTGCATGCCCCCACTCTGCCCCGATGTTACAATTGACGCTGTGGACATGCTCTGAGGATGGCTCCCAGGCTTCCCAGGGGCAGCGGCAAACTCACCCATGTCTCTTTGCAGAGCGAAGAAGAGATCTTGGTGGAGTGTCGCGTGCGGTTCCTGTCTTTCATGGGCGTGGGGAAGGACGTCCACACGTTTGCCTTCATCATGGACACGGGCAACCAGCGCTTTGAGTGTCACGTGTTCTGGTGCGAGCCGAACGCCGGAAATGTGTCCGAGGCGGTGCAGGCTGCCTGCATGGTGAGTAGTCTGGGTCCATGCGGGGCGCTCAACATCTTCGTGTGCCCAGAATTGAGGGAAGTGGTTACACAAGCAGGGCTGCACCGGGGCTCTGCCGGCGGGCAATCACCAGTATACAGGATTCAAGGTTACTCCTTCTGGACCCCCACATCCATCTCAATTTGTGATCAGGAAGCGCCAGTCACACCCACGGCTGCTGCTACTGCGTGGGCTCAGCTCAGTACTTGAATCATGTGGAATGATTTCTGTTTCCAAGGGTTGCTCGCAGTCTTACTGCCTGTTTTATTTTCTTCTTCCGTTAGCTCCATCCTCCCCAAGCCACTGTGAGGTCACGGTTTTATTCTACTTTGTTGAGAACAGGAGCCTAGCGAGCTTACTGAGCCGATGAATGACAGGGCTGGGGCAACCCCACACCTGCTGGCTAGCAAAGCCAGGGCTCCCATCAGCACCTGGATAGTGTCACCTCAGATCACACATCCTGATTCATCCTGCAGATATTCTTGGAGTACCTAAGATGGCAGATGTTGCAAAAGCCCGAAGAAAACTGCATGCTGGGAAGCCCCAAAGGCCGCAGCAGATTGTGCTGCTGAGCCAAGATGTACCCTGCAGGAGCTGGCTGCGACGTCATGTCAAAGTCTGATTGGCTCCAGCAGAGGTTCTCATATAGGTTGCTCATGTAACAAAGCAAGACAGAAACCAACAGAGAGGAGGCCAGGGCAGGACCAGTGAGGTGGGGAGACAGTGAGAGGCAGTAGGGACTTGAGGGGCAGAGGCTGTGAAAGACATCACAGGGCCGCTGCCTGGACTGGCCTGGGAGTGACAGGTGCTGCATCTAAAGAAGCCCTAGGATCCATTGCAGACACTAATGACAATTAAATAATTAGCTTCATCACAGGCTGTAGTTTCTCTTCTGATTGCCAGCCTTGCACCATGCGGCTGCCCATCCAGTGCAGGAGAGAGGCACCCCACCCTGCTCAGGGTGCAACTTCTCCCATCCCCCTAGCTATGCTGTCGATTCAGAGCTGCAAGATTCCCCATCTGAATCACCACCACCCAAGATACAGCATGACATGCTCTCTTTCAGGTCACTTTCTTCTTAGCTTTTCAGTTGTGTGGGAGAGGCCAGGCCTAGGAATGCTCTGGTAAAAGGCAGGGTAGGACGGAGTGGAGGTCTCCAAGAGAAGTGCTGGTTCTGTACGGCTGTGGCTCACACGGCTACATGGGCCACTGCTGTTTGAGATTACAAGGCCAAGGTCGAGTACCGCCACCCCTGCCTGCAATTAACTCATGCTTTAGGCTATGATGGGAACCTGGCAGAAGTCCTCACACACAGCCTTCTGTATCATCCCTTTCACATGGCTGGGATGGGAAGGACCGGTGGCCTGTGTGCTCGGATGTTGTGACAGGGACACCGCCTTTCCCTTGAGTTTTGCCATGGACATTTTATGGTGATTAGAAGCAGCAGCCTATCCTGAAACTGTAAAGAACCTCCTGATATTTAAGCTGATTTAAAAAAAAAAAAACAGCAAAAGAATTCATGGTACTTGGACTAGGAGAAAATTTTTAACTGTTTAATTTTGAAGAATTGCTTATCTTTGCATTCATGCCAAAGTCAGTGAAATGCGTTAATGCGTTTCTGAAGACAGACATTATTGGTGGTGTCATTGCCGACAGGTTTCTTAAAAATGAATTCAGTAGGATTTAGACTTACATGTGGGATGGTTCCTGGAATTAAGACACAGCAGTCTTGTATTCTCAAGCCATGAGCATGGGGACAAGTGTCTCAGGGCACCTCTGCACTGCCAGGCCCTCTGGTGATGCCTTACATGTGTTCCTTACGTAACCCTAAACCCACTGGACGAGTCCCCATTGTACTGCAGAAGAAAATGAGGCTGGCAAGAGCTGTCACGTGGGTAACGGTGCTGTTGGCACCAGCCAGTCCTTTCTGCCCTCACTAGCGCGCTGACCAGGAGGTGTGCCCGTTGCATCCTGAAGCCAAACACCTCTTCCAAGCCCAATGAGCCATTAGGAGAATCTCAGACAAAACAACTGCATAAAGGAAAAAGCCAGCTCTTGGACTGATGCTGAGGAGCTGGGCCATTCCCTTCTGGGAAGACAGTGTGCCGGCCAGTGTTGTAAGTCCCATTAAACAGGAAGAAAGAAAAAAAAAGTGTGATTGAACGTTGTTTTTTTATTTTCAGTTGCGGTATCAGAAGTGCTTGGTAGCCAGGCCGCCTTCCCAGAAAGTGCGGCCACCTCCCCCCCCAGCCGACTCAGTGACCCGGCGAGTCACCACCAATGTAAAACGAGGGGTCCTATCCCTCATTGACACTTTGAAACAGAAGCGCCCCGTCACCGAGACGCCATAGCTGCTTGGCCCGAGACTGCGCAGCATCGAGCCGAAGGGCCGGGAGCCACGCTAAGGGGACAGGGCACCACTGGCTTGACCTGCTCCGGGGCTGGTGCTGTGTCCACTGAGAACAGCTCTTTCACCAGTGTTAGACAAGCATGCCCTCCCATCTTGCTTGCCGCCATCCTGTGAACCGGAAAAGAAGCATGAGGACTTGTTTTTGCCGTCAGAGTCACCTCACGGGCAGTGGAAGGCCCTTTCCTTACTGTAAATATCGTGGACGTTGTTTCACGTCACACGCGTCTGGAGCAGAGCACAGCCACGGCCATTCCCGGGGACCTGCCATCAGCCGCATGTCCCCAGAGCGAACGCCGCCTGCCCCTCTATTAGTTTTACTGTCTTCTGGACTGGCCCTGTCCCATCGAGGCCACCTTCTCGGTCCTCCAGCACTTTGTCCCGTTGTCCACCTGGGACTAGACTCCATAGCCGATATCACTGAACTGTACAAATGGGATGCGTCTTTTAGTTTTTCACGAACTTGAACCTGTTGGTGGATAAATTTGGCTGTTGGCATCGGTCTGGAAGCCGACTGGCAGTTTTCCCAGACGAGCCCTGTGGCACACGGATGCCATTTCAAGTCTACAGCTGTTTGTGGGATGTTGGGGGGAAAACAAAGCAAAACATTGATAAGAAACAAATGAAATTTGGAAAAATTAAAGTCAAACAAAAAGTAGCCTTTCTTTCTGGATGGTTTTCAAACCGATTATTTTAAAAGAGAGATGAGCAAAGTCAGCGCATTTCGGGTGGGACACATTTCAAACTTCTGCCTTATATTATACAATGCAGCTAGAGAATTATCTAGTTTACCACGGCCATTCTCTACACACACACATGAAAATGAAGTATTCCTCATAAGCCCTTCATTCCTTAGTTTGATAACTAGCTAATATGCAATTTCAACTTGAGGAAATGTCATTGGTGTTTCTGACAGACCCCCCTGTTTTCGATCTCCATGACGTTATTTCTGCTGGTCCCCATCCTAGGGGCAGAGGTTTGCTAGAATTCCACCTCCAGCTTGATCTTCCTCTAATGTATTTTGTCCAGAATGCTGTCTGTCTGTCACCTATTGTCCATGGCAACAAACTGCATTAAGTTGAACCTTTCTTGAATTTATGTGTTTAATAATTGGAATTTGTTGGACTCAACTAGATAGATTTTAAATTTATATATATATGTTTTTCATTTTTGCTTTCAAGAGTCAAAGATTTCATTTTCAAAGCAAGAAATTCATAGGGATCATGGACTATTTAGCAAAGTTTCCCAAAAAACAGCATTTTATTGTTTTTTGTGTAGATAAGAAAATTTAGCTATATAAATACACTCATTTAGACTTTTTTTTTTACTTTGTTGTTTTCAAAAGAAAACTGCTAAGGAGCTCAATCTCAATATTTAGTCTTGTTTACTTTTTAATGTCAGAGTTAACGTTTATAACATCTAGTTAGAGTGATACGTTTCTGTATTGCTATGTCAAAATGGTTTCCACATTCTTATCACATATGAGCCTTATAAAATGGTAGAGAAAGTACCAAACACTGAAAAAGTAAAATATGAAGTACCCAGAGGCTAAAGTAACTGGCCTAAGATCTCTCCAAAGGAGATGCAAGCCAGGACAAGACAGTGTGGCTCTGGTCCCTGGTGCTCACTGAGTGAGGCAGCCCCCTCCTCGTCCCATCAGCCCAGCTCGCCAGACTTGAGTGTCTACAGAGAGCAAGCATGGGGGTGGCCATTGTCAGCAAGCTCAGAATTTTCTATTCCAGTGTCAGCAGGGAGGTAGGCCCAAATACCAAATCACTCAGCCCCTCGGCATGCCTCCGATAGATTGTAGAGGACCGGACTCTGCTTCAGTTGAGCCCCTTCCATCCATGAGATGCCACCTGTGGTGGGTCTTCCCTGCTCATGGCCTTAGCGTCCAGAGACACTGATGCAGGAGCTCTGGCCTCCTGCTGGCCCTCTCCCCCCACCACAATTCACAGCAGAAAGGGGTGGGGACAGGAGTGCTTGCTAGCACCCCAGTGTATGGCAAAAAAAAAAGAAAATGACTCTTTAAGAAATACATTATACTTCTCACCAGCTTACTTACGAGTTTATCTGAACTAACCAGTATCATCCGAAGTCATTTTCCACTGAGAGACTCCTGACAGCCCTCTGAAAAGCTGTTCAAAATTCAGTTAGGATCTTCCATCTTGATATCATGTGATATTTCAGTCAAACTTCAGAGTTCTAAGCAGGAAATCCATTTTTATATTGTAGATCTCTACCGGGATCCCTTGTTCATTCCTTAAGACATATATTTCTTTATTTTCAGGATCAGGAATACTGAGCTAGCTTTACGTAGCAAACTGATTTATATATGCAACTGTAAGATGCATCAAGATGAATGATAGCCTTTACATGTGGAAAACTTTCCTGCACATCTTTTGTTTTGAAACTAGCTTTGCATACCAAATGCAAATTAATTTTGTAAAATTAATTATGTTAAACAGTATGTTCAGACACTTTCTGCCATGGCCAAAAATTATGTATGAAAGTATGTGTGTATCTGTCTGTGGAAGGATACCAGTGTCTTCCCTGGTACCTTAGTGACACTTCAGTTATCTATGCATTCTTTATATCTGTGATGCAGTAAGCAGGCAGCCATGTTCCGTATGCCTTGTGTATCTTAGCCTTTTTTTAATTAACCTGTTAAATACAGCTTAAATATTTTTATTTATTCTATTTTTACTGAAATATACTGCATTGTTGTGTTAATGTATTCTCTTTACTGGATATTGTCTCACAACCTCTCCAGGTCTATATAATCTCAGTGAACTATACCTTACCTACAAGGTAGTTTTGTAAAGACTTGTAGTCACATTTCTACTGGAATATGTAGAGGAAAAGGCAAAATGTTTCCAGTTCCTTTTATTTTTGCCAAGCAGCTAGGTAGCCGCAGGCCTACCAGCTTAACTGTGTGCTCCTGGGCCAGCACCAAGGGGCCAGATCAACCTGCCCACAGCTTCAGACCTTGCTTCGCACACGCAAGCTCGGTGCCTCCCTGTAGCGCCCTTCCTAACACGTGGGAGCTCACCTTGGCCCTACAGACATGCCCACATACAATCCGTCCTCCCGGCTCCAAGATCATCCCTCGCTCACTAGGACCTTTGCTTTGGGTTTGTCTGTCTTACAGCATGAAGGGACACTAGATCCATTTGCATTAAAATAATTTGTTGATAAACTGTTGATACTGCTCCTCTTTCACAATCCACCTTCTGAGTTTTAAATAGGCACATGTAAGGCCACCCTATTACACCAGGCCCTAAGCTCAAGACCCAGGGCATCCTTCCCCCGCCCCATGACACGCTCATTTCATAAGCATTGCAACACACTTGCAAGACTTCCTAAACATGAGAAGCACTTCCGAACTATTAGCACAAAAACCCAGTCCATGCCCCATCCCACGCGTGTTAGTCAAGTGCATCTTGGTTTGTCTCCCTTACTCTGTAAGAGCAGCCCCGGGCATCCAGAGCGGCTTGTTCATCCCCAAAGAAAGTTGTTTTATTTTTTTTTCCTTTTTGTCACTGTTGCTGTTGGTCATTTTTACCAAATGTAATATGTTGTGCAAATAAATTCAGCTGCATAAAGTGTTTGGCTCCTTTCTCTACCACATTAGTCACAGATGCAAGGACTAGAAATGTCAAAGTCCTGTCTCTGCAGTGTTTATTTGTACCTCAAGTCAACAATGTTTTTTAGAAAGCATCTTAATGGAAGGTCCTGCTTTGATGAGCTGCCACGTAATGCCACCTGGTAAGCATAGGAAGATGATGTTACGTTCTGAGTGATTGTGCTGCCCAGGCTTGGTAACTGGGAGAGACTGCTGGCATTCTGGATACAGAAGCCTGCTTGATACCAACTTGAGTCTTGGAAGCAGTCTGACGAGCCCTACAATACTTGAGCACAGCACAAACACGTCTTCTGATTTCCTTGAAGAACACAGCTTTAAAGGATGAAGAACAGAGGTGTACAGGTACCGGGTCCACCGTGAAAGGTAACTAGAGAAATCTAGTTGCATTGAATGACCTGTTAGACATATGGAAGATAAAGAGAATTCAAATGTATACCCATTTTGTTGTTCAGACTGTCTTCAGTTGTTATCTCACACTTTACCAGAGGCCACAACTCTTCAATAACAAAGGTTCGTTTGGGTCTTAGTGTCATCAGGACTATTCCACACTAGAATTCTCTCATTGCTTTTATCCAAAGCACTTTTCCCTTTTTGTTCTACCAAAGTATTCCTGGACCCTGGCCTTGGAAGACTGTCTTAGAAGGAAACTGCAGGCTTCATCCATGAATGTTTTAATTCAGAGTCTGTGTGGTAAAAGAAGTTGAAGATCCTGGCTACAAATTGTGACACCAGGCACAGGCTGATATAGAGTTTAAAGAAAAAATCCTAAGTCATCTCATAACACTGACAATAAGCTTTTAAGAAAAATACACTTAAAAGTATCGACCTGCTACTTGTAGACCCATATTTTTCAGCCTGGGGTAGATGAGAGGACAGAAAAATAATGATGCCAGGGATGAAAATACCAGCCGTTTAAAAAATGTTTGTTGGAAAAACAAAGCCATTGATAGAGAGTTAGCAGAGGCTGGGCCAAACTGAAGCCAGGAGCATGACACAACATCTAGGGCTTCCACAGAGACGGCGGAGACCCAGCCATAGAGGGCACCTGCTGCCTCACAAGGTACCCATTAGCAGCAAGCTGGATCACAAGCAGAGATGGAACTCTATCCCATCTCTCCAAAACAGAATGTGGAGATCCCAAATGGTTGCTTAAAACAGTTCTGTATTTTCAAGCCACAATCGACATGAAAATTATTTGGGCGTTTAAAATAACAAGCCTCATTCAAGTAAAAAGTGTTATTTCTCAGGGGGTAAGCATTGTAGCATGACAGCTTAAGCTTCTCCCTATAATACCACATTGCAGATTGAAGCATCTGGTTGAATCCTTGTTTTTCCATTCTTTTTAATCCAGCTCCCTGCTAATGTGCCTAGGAAAGCAGCAGAGGATGGCCCACGTGGGAGACCCAGAAGTATGTCCTGGCTTACAGCTTTGTCCTGGCTTATAGCTTTGTCCTGGCCCAGGTCTGGCCGTGGTGGCCATTGGGAAGTGAAATGGCAGATGGAAGGTGTCTCTCTTTTTCTCTCTCTCTCAGAAAGACTAGAATACTGGAGCTGAAATAGTCTTGAAGATGTATTGGTCTTGAAGATGATAATGTTCCAAAATGATGCTTCTTGAATTGAGTTTTTAGGACTTTACCTAATATTTGCAGACAACTGAATTCTGAAAATGAAACTTTAAATCCAATTTTCTCTATGAACTTATTTAAACATTAAGATTTTCAGCTGTAATTTATTTTAATGAATATCAAACAATTTGTTTCCATGATGAAGTAAGAAAAATCAGTGGGTCCCCAAATGATAGTTATATTAATTCATGATAAGTAACTGATAATACATGCAAGAGGAATTGACATTTAATATAATTAACAGTGCTACAGTATATTTTAATTGTGCATCAAATGATTTGCCAACATTTGATTACTGTGCCATTTGAAATGATTTGTAGATTTTGTTGTATCACCTGATCTTTGAATAGAATCAGAAATCTTCATGGATTTCATCAACTATAGATATCACATATATTCAAATAGTTTTGCCTCATTCCTGAGAATGAGTTAGATGAAAATTTGCTTCTAGTTTTTTACAGTAGTGTTTGGTCTAATTGGCCCGAAAGGAAAGATGATTCTGAAAGTTCTAACAAAGAGAAACGGACACCTGACCTACACTCCCCTGGCACCTTGCCCATGCTTCCTACTCATTGTCCACCCCAATCACATTACATAAATGCATGCCCTTCCCTGCTTGAAGAACAGTTTTATATTTAAAGGAGGAAAAAAAATAAAATCAGCCTTGACAAAGTTAAACTCCAATTGTGTGCTCCTAAAGACCAGTGTTGGCTGGTGGGACAGGGCCCATGCCTGCACTTCTGTGTCTTTATAAAGACCTAACTCCCCACTGAAGCCAGCCAGTGTTTCCTTCAGGAGAAACTTGCAGCTTTCTGTCCAGGTAGAAGGTGAACTGGAGTGAGACAAGCTGTACAAGCTGACACGGACTCTACAACTGGACATGCTAAAATAAGTTAGCCCTGAGCTACTGAAATCTCTGGATTCTGCTCTGTGCAATCCCATATGTTGTTCTCACTTGTCATAATTCTCTGAGGAATAACAGCACATTGAGAAAACACTGTGTGGCCCTTCTGTAAGGGATGTCTGACCTTCCAAGAAAACACCAAACTTTGGGGAAAAAAAATAATAATAATAATGAAGCAACTGTCTTTGGTCCCTGTAAAAAAAAAAGCAACCAACCAACCAACCAAAAAAAAAACCAAAAAACGACAACCACCACACAACCAGTCAAAGCCATGGCCGAGGATGCCTCAGTAGGGAGGAAGGTAAGTTTTCCTTTGGTTTTTCTCCTCTTTTGGTGATCGATGGTGAGGAGAGGTAGCCGGGCACCATCATCTTGGGTCCGACACACCTGCAGAAGAAATGCTGGGCTGGGAACCGAGCCCTGATGGCTTCAGGGCTTGAGAAGGGCAGCATGACTGGAGGCAGGACAATCTCAATGGGTTTCAGGGCAACCATTTTGTCCTCTGGCCGGTGCCTGACAAAGCTTGTCTGCCGTTCATAGGGTCTGGAGGGATATGTGTTCTTCAGAAAGGTTGGCACCAAAGGCTGGGTGCTGGGCTTGGTGAGCTTTCTGATCTGGGGGGAGGCGCCCACCTGCAGGGTTGTTTTCTGTGGGAGAGACACTTTGGCTGCCAGTGTCTCAGACTGGTCAGTGTTTGCCTTCATTTCTCGGTGCAAGAACTCAGCAATTTTTATTTGGATGTCATTACTGTCAGTGAGAGCCTTTGGAAAGGCTGTTTTTGATTTCTTCTTCTTCTTCTCCCTTTTGGATGATTTGCCCAACTCGATGCCTTCCAGCAGGCCCTTGGCGGCAGCTCGTGCCAGCACGTCTTTGACAGACACTGTCTCGGTTGGGTCTCGCTGTGGTGAAAAAGCAGTTACTTAGGATGGGCAGCAGCTTTGATGACTGTGCATATTAACAAACCCTCAGCCATGTGTGAATAAAAGGAGTGTGTCTTACTGTGCCAATCAAAGTGGTGGTCAGGGCCTTAGTCTCTGATATGTGTCCTAAGCTTTAGCAAATGGGTCCTTCCGCACCTCCACCCCTGACCTTTTAGGTTTCCCATGTAGAAATCTAGTAATCGGGATTACAGAGCCCTTTTCTTACATGTGAGGGAAGACACAGCAGATGGTAAGCAAGTGCTTGGGGAGGAGGGTGGGCAGGTGGCAGAGGAGCACTTAGAGGTGCTATGAAGAAGGGGGGTTAAGAAAGATGGCTGTAACTCCTGCCCCATAGCCAGGGATCAGATACAAACCCTTCACCACAGAGCGGTCACCAAGTTCCCAGTTCCTCTTACGGCCATTGTGTCTTCCCAGATGTGGTGTGGAGTGGGGATGGGGGTGGGGAGGGTGTTTTTCCTCACCTCCCTTGTTAAAATAGAAAGAAAGCAACCATTGTTGGTTTCTGATGGTTCCATCCTGAAGAACTTGTCAGTAGACAGCTGTATTTCCTTTAGGGAGCACAGTGGAAGCACAGGAGGACTAAGCCTGCACGAGAAAAGAACAGACGCTGCATTGTGAGAAGGGCTTCCCTGCCCCCAAAAATTTGAGCAAAAGTTCCAACCAAAGACAAAATACTTGAAGCAATTTTCTCAAAATACTGTGAGTTAAAAGCTCTGCTAACTCATATTACCTCGAAATATATGTTTCCCAAGTTCTCCATCTTTAAACAACTATGCCAAGAATAACAACTTGAAACAAACTTAAAACTTGGATTCCCCAAGTCATTAATGAATTAACAAAAATCTTCCATTATTAAAACAGGTCAACATGTATAATAATCACAACAATGTATCCCCAAAATGCCCAATACTTCCCCATGTTGGTGAAACACAAAAGGCATGACTTCCTTCTTTGGATTGTTTTTTGTCCAGTGTATAAAAACTAGCCACAGGGCAGATGCGTGGCAAAGCACACTAGCTGGGACACCTGCGTCCCATATTGAGATGGTTCTTGGCTCCAATTCCAATCCTAGCTTCCTGCTAATGTACTTTGTAGAAGGAAGTAGGTGAGAGCTTAAACATCTGGATCTCTACCCATCATGTAAATGACCTGGATTGAGTTCCTGGCTTATGCGGCTTTAGCCTGGCTGAGCCCTAGCTATTGTGTCAGCCTTTGGGGAGTGAACCAAAAAACAATAGTTTTATACGCTTATCTCTAAATACACTTATTATATATTTAATTATGTATATATTTAAAGATAAGCATATATTAAAGCATGTAGACACATATATAAAGTGTATTTGTGTGTGTGTATATATATAATGTGACAGTGTACAGTGAGAGACCAAGAAGACTGAAAGACCACCAGAGGACTCCCATCCACTGATTCTCTCCCCAGTTGCCCCCAGTGGAGCCAGGAACTCAATCCAGGTCTCCCTCATGGATGGCAGGAGCCCATTATTTGAGTCATTACTGTTGCTGTCCAGAATCTGAATTAACAGGAAACGAGTCAATAGCCAGATCTAGGACTCCTACCCAGGGACTCTGACGTGGGAAACAGGCATCTTAACCGCTAGGCTAGATGCCTTCCCCAACTTAGCCACATTAGTTTTCTCAGTCTCCCTTGCAGTATTAGTGAATGTGCAATAAAGTGCTCAAGGCAATACACAAATATACGATGGTGAAAGACTTTATGTCAGATATATAAAAATCTAATTGCTAGTACGTTTCAAATTAAGTTTTGGTTTTTATATTTAACTGATAGTATGTTTATCCATGAATATTCTTACATTGCTATGCTTTTAAAATTAAAATATACTTAATATATTTAATGGACCAAAGCAAGTAAATAACATCCTATGTCAAAGTATTTTTTTTCTGAAATGTAAGACCAGTATTTATTCATCCATTATCTTCCTACTATGTACAGAGCATATGAATAAAACATTAATTCTGTTAAATAGCTTACAACTTAGTTGGGGAAACAAATTAACTTACTGTAGTATTAAAAAGACCAAATAAGAACGCTCAGCCAAGTGGAGGCAAGATTATGTGGGAGTATAGAGTAAGATGCAGTAATTTTGGCCAGGGGAGATGGCAAACAGGAAGACTTAAGAGGAAGCGGTGAGTCTAGACAGAACAGAAGAATACATTTCATGAAAATGCACATATAACAGGTGCTTCACAGGGCTGGGCCGGAGGGTGAGCAGAAAGAGGTCACACAGGATGGGAGCAGATACACACATGACCTGGAGTGACACTGAAAGATTCTGGTGATGATAGAAAGATAGACAGCCTGGCACATGATCATGGAATTTACCTGAAATAAACTAGCTTTGCAGGTACTGAAGACAAGCGAGCTGATTGCTCCTCTCACCAACTTTGTTCTGAATTTTAACTTTTTTTTTTTTTAAAGATTTATTCATTTCTATTGGAAAGGCAGATACACAGAGAGGAGGAAAGACAGAGTGGAAGATCTTCCATCTGATGGTTCAATGGCCGGAGCTGAGCCGATCCAAATCCAGGAGCCAGGAACTTCTTCCGGGTTTTCCACACAGGTGCAGGGTCCCAAGGCTTTGGGCCGTCGTTGGCTGCTTTCCCAGGCCACAAGCAGGGAGCTGGATGGGAAGTGGGGCTACTGGGATTGGAGCCAGACCCCTGGCTTTTAACTTTTTCTTAATGTCCTTTATTTCACTTATTTGAAAAGTGGAAAGATGGTCAAGAGATCCTCCTGTCTGCTGGTTCACTCCCCAGATGCTCACAATAGCGAGGGCTGGGCCAGGCTGAAGCCGGGAGCCAGGAGGCAGGAGCTTAGTCCAGGTTTCCCACGTGGGTGACAGGGATCCAACTACGTGTGCCCCATCTGCTGACCCCCTGGGTGTGCGTGAGCAGGAAGCTGGACTCAGGAGGAGAGCTGGGATCCATACCCAGGCACTTCAGTAGGGGAGCAGATGTCTTCACCACTATGCAAAATGCACCTCCCCAATACACTAACTTTGTAAACAACCAACAACTTCTGAGGGTAATTCATATGTGCTTGTTATCTAACACAAATGGAAATCTGCCAAAAATGTATTATTCATTTAGGTATATATAAAAATATATATGCATGAATATCTATATACACAATGAAAATAATTCTTACCAATCTGGGACATGCACAGCTCTAGAATGTAAATATGAAGGCAGGGTTTTTGGCTAATCAAATATGAAGAATGGTTATATCTAACAGGATGGAATTAGGAAAAGTACTTTTGTTTTATAAATGAACATTTCTGTAATATGAAATTTTTACAGTAGTGGACAAGAAAATTGCAACAGCTTAAGGAAAGTATCATGAAGAACCACGTCCATAATGAGCTGAATATTTTTGAGCTATTAAGAGGAGATGATTCGGTGACAGCGTAATGCCAATGCATTCAACTCTAAATTCTCCCTCTTAAGGGATTTAGATGATTCTTATTCCAGTGCACTTCCTTCTACAAAGCTGATTGCATCCCCAGCCAGCAGGCATAAACCTCATGAAAACACAATTTTCCTATTTGAGCTCAAATCCCAAGCCAACCTAGAATATGAATTATTCTTGAATTCTCACTTGAGTCTTTAACACCATATTATAGATGGATCATAGCTTAGATTGAATGAAATGCAGATAATCCTCCATTTTTGCCATGTTATATTCCTAAAATCTTAATCCCTGACAAATTAGGAACCAGGCATTCTGCTCACTGACATGTTCCATACTTGCAATAACTTTTGCCATTGAGCTAATGCTGTATTGAAAACCTGTCAGACCAGGAGCTTGGCTAGCAGCCACCAACAGGAACTGCTGAATAAGGAAGGAAAGTCGGCAAGAAGGGAGATACTGGTGTGATTATCAAGTCTACTTGTGAACTGGCAAAGGAAAATTTCCAAGTTCAAAGGGGGAAGACTATATTGATTATATTAAGTATTGGGGGGAAAGCTCACATGATTTTTTTTTAAGATTGATTGATTTGAAAGGCAGAGTTACAGAGGGAGAGAAACAGATCTTCCATCTGGTGGTTCACTCCTCAGATGGCCACAACTGCTTGGGCTGAGCCAGGCCAAAGTCAGTAGCTTGGATTCTGTCCAGGTCTCCCACATGAGTGTCCAGGCCCAAGGACTTGTGCTAGCTTCCACTGCTTGCCCAGGCACTTTAGCCCACACTACATACTCATTATCAACAATATTAAAGGACTGATCAGTTAGTGTTATTTATTCTCAGATCTATTTCTTATCTTGATGTCCACAGTTCAGATTGTTATTAATTAATGACCGTTGTTATTAATGTTCTTTCTCTCTCTCCATAGTTTACTATAGCATTTTATCCTGGAACTACTAGAGAGTATTTTTACTCTAGTCTTAGTGTATATGACATGCCGAAGAAAAGGCTTAAGAAATCCATGCTTCCAGATAATATAACATCCAATTTCCTGCTACCTTATAAGAATGCCTATATTTTTTCTTCTGCTGAGGCATATATGTACCTGAAAGAGGAATATGAAATTTGAGCCCAGTTTATCTAGATACCAATTTTTTCTTGCCTTTAACTCTGGAGCCAATGTTGTGGGATAGCCTGGGTAGAGCCAACTCTGAGACACTGGCATCCTGTATGAGGCCTAGTTTGAGTCCCAGCTGGTCCACTTCCAATCCAGCTCCCTGCCAATGGCCTGGGAAGATGGCCCACGTGTTTGGGTCTCTGTACCCACATGGAACATCTGGATGAAGCACCTGCCATTGGCCTGACTCAGCTCTGGCCATTGTAGCCATCTGACCAATGAAAAAAAGATTATGCTTCCTTTCAAATAAGTGAATCTTTTTAAAAATGCTTTTCTTTAACACTTGCAAAAACAAATTTATTTACTATTGGAAGGGTGGGGGTTTGGAGCTAGTGAGCCAGAGGGAATGAGAGAGTAAGCTATCCCATCTGCTGGTTCACTCCTCAGATGTCTGCGTGAGCCAGAACTGGGCTAGGCAGACACGAGGGGCTACGTCTTAATTCACACCCCCACATGGAGGGCAAGGGACCCAAGTATGAACTTGGGAGAGGACCCTGGACTTGAACCCAAGCTCTCCTGGACTTGATCCAAGCATATAAGCAATATCTGAATTGCTGTGTCAAACACAGGCCCTCAGTTTTTCAGTGTACCAGAAACTGCTTCTGTGACGGTACCACAAAAGCTCTGCAGCTGCTGCTTGCAAGTTGAAAGTTCGGCTATTTGAGCAAATTAGAGCCCAATTTAAAGGAAGTAGAGTACCTTTGCACAACAGAGAAAATCTCACTCTTCATTTTTAAAAACAGTTAAGTCGCTTAGAATCCTTTGTTTTCTTACCTATAACGTTGTACTTTAATCCCACAGTCTTGAAATTCCAGGGCTTTCTTAATAACATCTTCGTTTTCTTCTGTATAAACTGAGCACGTGCAATACACAACTGCTTGCGCTTTAGCAACTGCATTCAAGAAGATGTAATCAGTGCTGCGCTCCCATTCACAGAACAATGCCCATTTGCTAACGTCTACCCAGTTTTGTAGGAATGACTTCCCACAGTGGCTGGCGTGGCTCCCCTCTCAGGCAAAAGCTAACATTCATCATGCAGCCTGTGGCCACTAGGTCAAGTGTATCTAACCCAGATTGCCTGGGGAATGAAAGCTCAGCCAATGGGGGCAGCCTAGTCACAAATACAAAAGGATGGATAGCGCCAGACTCCCACAGGCTTGATCCTTCTGGCCCAGTGTACCACCTCATTAGCTTAAAGGGCTCTAAAAGCTAACACAGATTTGGAGGGGAATCCCAGTTCTATCATTGACTGCTGAGTGAACCCCAAGTTGTGAACATCACAAAAAAACATTTTTCACTTGTAAAATTAGGCAATGTCACTACCTACATTTTGCGTTTTTATTTTGTACTTATTGAACATCCAGTCCAAGTCATGCATTGTAAGTCTGGAAAATGTCAGTCAATAACACAAATAGAAATCCCTATCACTTTGGCACCCACTTTCTACTAGAGGAGAAAGGCAGCAAGGCATGGATAAGCAAGAAAATGGTACAGCATTGTTAGGTAACAAATGCTTGGTGACAAAGACATTGGGGAATGGGAGTGTGAGTTTCCGGAGAGATGCTGTTCCTTTACAGAAGGTGGCCAGAGAACCACATGGCTGAGGTGGCGCGCAGTAGGGGGTTGGAAGGAGAGCAGGCAGCCAGCCCTCCAGCTCTCTAGGGGAGGCATTCTAAGCTAAGGGCACAGCAAACATTAGGGGCCTCATCTGGAAGGGGACAGAACATGGTCAAGGGACGAGCAGAGAGCACGGGGACGGAGACTGAGTGCCCGTCAGAGCAGACTGGAGGCCACGGACCTGATGGGAAGCCACCTGTTTGAACAAGATCATTGCAGCTGCTGTGGAAGCTGGACGACAGTAACAGACACTGCAGTAACCAGATGTGAGGTGATGGTGACCGGACACTGGATCCAGACGGTGAGTGTAGAAATTAACTGTCTAAGTAGTTTTGATACTGCCAGTAAGTACCATTTAAATAGCTATCATTTAAAAGGTTGATTTCAAATGGCACTTTAGTCATTCCTATTAAAATTTAGAGTCAGACTCCCACACCTATGAGGCCTTTGCTAGGTTTGACTCTGTCTTTCAAAGTTCATGTGTTAGAAACTTGAGTCTCCACAGGACAGGAGGAGGGAGGAGCCCTGTGTGTCCTGGTCTGTACTATGAAAAATGTGAAATCTACTCATATTAAATAAAATTTTAAAAGAATTAAAATATATGAAGAAAAACGAAGAAGAAACTGACTCCGCAGTTCATGGCTGCTGGCAGCAGGGTCATGAGGGTGGTGCCCTGTGGCTATAGAGTGGGTTGGTCAGTTTTGGCGAGGCCAGCGCTTGTCAGGGGGAGCCCAGCCCCAGCATCTGGTAAATTCTTTTATCTCCTCCCTGTTAGGATCCTGCACCCAGGGCCTAGCCAGAGTGCCACGATGGTCCCAGGACTTCTCCGCCTCCAAAACTGTAAGCTAACTTATAGTTTTTCCTTATACAATGCCCAGTCTACCGTATTCTGTTACAGCAACAGGAAATGAACTAAGTCAGCATTGTTTTATGGGGAAATGGTACAACTTGCTTTGATTTGCCGTATGTCTTCTGGCAGTGTAAACGGTTGTAATCTCAGCTGCTGTCAGAAGTTATGTTGATTCAGCATCACATAGGGGCTTCTATCATTACGATCCTTTTGCTTTTTGATACTTTCTGAAGCTTTTTGAAAGCTTTAAATATTCAATTAAAATTTAATAAAAGTAAGATGTTTATCAACTTCCTGATCTTCCAACTAATTTGCTTCATGGATCATAAACACAGATACTTCAAAAGGTTCCTGAAGCAGGTGGGAGGAGGGGCGGCGTTTGGCCCAGCTGCCTCCCTCCTCCCCCATCTCAGAGCACCGGGGGTGTCACTGGTTCCTCCCCTGGCTGCCTGAATGCCGACCCTGGCAGGCAGCAGGGATGGCTCACAGGGATGGCTCCACACGCACCATGGATAGGACCAGGATTAAATTCCCACTCTGGGGTCCAGTTTGGTTCGGCCTCACCCATGTCGAGCAATTGGAAAATTATTTAGAGAATACAGCTCTCGGTCTCTTCTGGCTGGATCTCAAATAACCATTTACATAACTTTTGGAAAGATCCGTGGGAATAAACAATGGAATTATAAGTTTGGGCCAGGTGTTTTATGTACCAGTTAAGTCATTTGGGATGTTCACATCTCATTCTGGAATCCATTCTGAGTCCCAGCTCTACTTCCAATTCCAGCTTCCTTCTGAACGAGTAGCAAGTGAGACAGCCCAAGTATGTTGATTTTTATACAGAAAAATTTTAAATTCCTGCATAGTTTTTTTTCATAATATGCATTTTCCATGAGCTTTATAAACATCCCTTGTATGCATGGGTTTCAAAATTTTTCTACAATATTATCTCTTAATTTCATTGTTTCCATCAAATTTTTGCAATACACATAAACAGACCACAGGCAAAGCAGTGTTTATCATATCAACTAGAAGGGCAAACCTCCTGAGTGCTTTCTGTTTTGCTTTATCTCTGCCTCATTTTGATATTATTTATAGAACTGTTTATTCCCACCTACTTACCTTTGAGTTCCTATCAGGATTTATTCATGCCCAAATGCCCAACAATTAGCTTAATGCCTAACCCAGAACAGGTACTTGATAAACACATATTGATTTAACAAAAACTTACCTATTTCTAGGAGACCCATAGCTTTCCACATACATGTGAGGAAAGGCAGTAGTACTTAAAATCTAAATGGAATGATTAAAGCTATGGCATAAATACTTAAGGAATGTTGTTACACAGACTCCAAATTTAGAGATCAAGATTGTAACTATAATTAAACCTCTTGTTTTCAGTTTAGCATTAGTTTGGACTGAAGAGGAAGTGTCAGGAGAGGTACCACAACAGAAAACTAATGAAGCAAGAAGCCAAAGGAAAAACTAGGAAAGATGAAAACTGCACAATTATGGACATAAAAAAGATTTCATTTCAACATTAACAAATGTATAAGTTATTCTTGATAGCCTAAGGTTAAAATTATGGTAAATCATTTTCTAAAGTGGTGAAAATTAGTATTTTGAGGCTCAAATTCTAGAAAATGTGCTTATGGTTGATACTTCATTGTTAGTTTACAACAAATAAGTGAAATAGTAATGTTTCTATAATGCACTATATACTTTTATATGTTTTACTATAATGCACTATCTTTTAACACAGTTTTTCCAGTGAGAAACTTACATTTCATGGCATGTGTCAGCTGCTCATACTGCTGCTGAGCGAGAACATGAAGTTTCTCTTTTGATGTACCTCCTTTAGAAAGATCCTTCAGCAAATCCGTATCTAAATTTTAAAAAGTAAACAGACTTTAAAATTTGCTATGACTATAGATTTTCTATATTTGCTATTATATTTTTTCAATCGTTCTGCCTATGAATCAATTTTTTTGTGAAAAAAAACCTGCTAAAATAAAACAGTGATATTAAAACATTAACTTAAAATTCAAACATTAATAAAGGTAATAAGAGTAGCTATAATATCTTTTTCGAAAAGAATATTGGAAGCATTTAATACAGTTCTTCTCTCGGTTCCTGCGAGCTAGCAATCCGAGTAGCCATGCATGGCTCTGTGCCGTCCAGGAAGCCTTGGTCAGTGATGTACTGTAGGTGTGGTGGGGTTCCACAGACTGTCACAGAGCCGAGTAACCCCTCGTGCCTTGTAGCATCATCGCCAGGCAATGCCGTGGTGCAACTGCGTTTGCAGTGATGCTGCTGTAGGCAATGCATCTGCACGGCCATTCACAGGGAAGGCCAGCGCGTACAGTCAGGTCCGATGCCTAATACCTGACAAGAGCTTCCTATGCTACTGGTGTATGTGCTTACCAGACCATACTTCCTCCTACTTACTACGCAACCACAGCCTTCTACCCTGTGTCATCTAGGGTTATGCAAGTATCCTCCACGATGTTCACACATTGAACAAATTGCCTAACAAGGCTTTTCTCAGATCGTGTCATATTTGTTGATACAAGTGTACTTTTTGATACCATTTCTTTATTCCAAGGGGTACAGTGTAAACCCAGTTAGAAATAGCATACTTTAGTGGATAAGAAATTTTCTAACTGATCTGAATTTGAATCCATGCTTCCCTATTTACTAGCTACATGGCCATAAGCCATGTAGCTTTTTCTAAGTCTTAATTTTCACCCCACTCCAAAATAGTATCATCAAAAAGTGATTGTGAATGTTAAGTCACAGTGTACATATAGCCTACAATATCGACTAGTTCCTTTCCCTCAGTTTCCCTTCCTTCCTTGCTTTTCAGCTCTACCCATGCTTGCATACGTGACAGTTACCATATCCGTAAGTGGGGTGTCTTCCTTTTCTAATATTCTAGTTACTGTACTATGCCTTTCAAGTAAATAAGAGATTCTAGTAGGAATCGGTTTCAGTTACTCTTAGGGCAATATAATGTGATTGACAGAGTGATTTCAAGCCCACTGTCAAAGGTGGACATTTGGCATCACAGTTAAATGCTGCTTGGGAGCATCCATGTCCCTTGTGTAGAGTAGCTGGGTTCAAATCCTCACTCTGCTGCCAGCTCTACTTCCTGCTAACATATACCCTGAGAGGCAGCAAATGATCGTTCAACTGGACAGGCCCTATCCACGTGTGGAAGACCTGGATTGAGTCCTCAGTGCTTAGCCTGGCCTAGCCCTGGCTGTTGGCAGGCACCTGGGGAATCAACCAAGGCAATGGAAGATTACTACCTCTTCTGCCATTTCTCTCCCTCTCTCCCATTCAACTCCCTCTCCCACCTCCTGAAGTGAATAAACCATGAATACACTAATTTTCTTTTTTTCCAGCGCCAGCTTAGGTCAGACTGGCTGGGTAGGGAAGCAGGCTGAGACATTCTGATGTGATGGTCTTCGGGGTGGGGTGGGGGGATGGCTTTGATACTTTTCTCTGATTTTCAGCCTTCTTATTCCTGGAATGGGGAGAATCAGAGTCACTACATCATTGAATTGTTGTGAGAAGTTAATGAAATGATCCAAGGAAAGTGCTTAGCTCATGCTGTACACGTAAGTGCTCGATAAATGCTAAACCAAAAGTTTAAAGAACCCAATAAAATATTCCTAGAGTTAGTATTTAGTCTGAGATGTTTTAATCACAATACATATATTATTATATATAACATATAATGGTTTTTTAATATGATGCCTATTTCATCCTATTATCTAATATATCATATATATCAACTATATCGAATAGATCACATATATGTGTGTATGTTTATGCATATATATATATCTCCTGGTGATTTAACTAGTCTTGATGAATTTGAATAAACTTAACTTGAGTTTAATTAGGACTGTGTTTATAGAATAGCCTATTTGGTCAAGCAGATCTACAAGTTTAACTAACTGTACAACCCTGTAAGAATGAATCAAAATTTCCGAGTCTCAGGTTTTTGTTCACAGAATGCTGACCAGTGCTAACACCGCTGTCTGGAACTTGGGTAGAAGCCAAAATCACATGTTGAACCACCTCTGCCCTGATTGTTGGTATCATTCCAATCTTAAGCATTAGAAGAGCATAGTTGCCTGTCTCACAGGGTTGGCACAGGGATTAAATGAAGGAAAAAACATGTACCTTCATGTTCATTTAAAATAAATTCTACCGGATTACTAACACCCAGTCCTGAACAACGGGGCAGCAGCAGAATCACTTTCACTTTCTGTAACCTGTGATCCTTTGATTCAATGTTGGTAAATGTATCATGAAGTATTTCAATATCTGGAAGGAAAAAGAACATGGGAAATTTCATGTTAAAGATTTTAATCAGTGTGTTATTAGACCTATTTGTTGTTAATGTTTTAACCTGTGTGAGTCTTGTTCTGCTATGGTGCTTTCCACTTAATGTCAGTTGTATGTTTTCACTTGTTTCTACGTTTCCCTTCTCTTGGTCCCCTCTCCAATTGCCCATAACAGAGCTGGCAGGGCTGAAGCCGAGAGCCAGGAACCCAACCAAAGTCTCCCTTTTGGGTGGCACGAACCCAAATACTTGAGTCGTCTGGTACAAGCCAGACGGTGATGGAGCTGGGTATCAAACCCTGGTGTGTGAATGTCTTAACTGGCACACCTTAGCCGCTGAGCTTGCCTTGTCTTTTGTTGTCATTGTTAACTGAATCCCAGATACTGCACATGGAAAACACAAGCCAACCCTCATTTAGGATACAACTGAAGGCCTGGGATGAGTTTATTTCCTTCCACAGAGAATTCACTTTTGCATCTGGCAGGCAAACACTAGGCCTAGGATCAAGCACTAGCCATTCCAAATCACCTCAATCCAAGTGGGAATTAGGGTGGTAGGAATGTGGGCTATTATGCTTTGGAGAGCTGATCACTCTTTTTATATAATAAACTAGGATTTCCAATGACAAAATATTCTTAAAAACAAGAAGCCTAAAAGCATTATCTTTGTGACATAAGCACTTATATAATTATGTTTTTATTTATTAAATGGTGAAATTTCTACCATCTACGTTAACCAAATGTTGCCTGAGCCAAATTTCAAACACAAATGCAGAGTATCAAGAAAAGAATTCATTTAACCTACAGTTGTTTCATTAACACTAAGTAAGAATAGCCTGATAGAATACAGTTTAGTGAAGGTTTTTAAGAGTACAGCTTACCCAGAATTTTTTACTTTCCAAACAAAACAATTTCAAAATTTGTTTATTTTAAAGACAGAGAAACAGAAACAGAGGTCTTTTATCTGTTGCTTCACTCCCCCAAATGCCTCCAAAAGCCAGGGCTGGGCCAAGCCAAGGCCAGAAGTCAGGATTCAGTTAAGTCTCCCACATAGGGGACAGGGAGCCAAGTACCTGAGCCATCCCCTGCCTCTTCCCAGGCTCCACATTTGCAGGGAAGTAGAACTGGGAGCAGAGCCAGGACTCAAACCCAGTCCCTGCCGCTTGGGATGCAGGCATCCCGACTGACATCTTAACCACTGTGCCAAACAGCTGCCCCTCACACATTGGAAATACCTCCAAATTCGGACAGAGCAGCAATCACCAAATACATTATTTGTACATACTTTTACATCCCATCTTTGTGAAAAGTTTCTTTAGGTCAGGATCGTTAGCATGTGACTGTACTCCACACACAAAGATTTTTGAAGTATTATTATGCGTTAGGATTGACATATGGGCAACTGTGTACCATGACCCTGTGTTGACCATCAAGATGTCATCCTCCATATTCAATAAGGCCTTTACAGAATGAACAGCAAGACTTCGAGACTTGTCCTAGGAGATAATGATATGGTTAGCATTGTTCAAAGGGCATAAACAGAAACATGCATTCATTTTCTAGAAAAAATATTGCTAGGAATCTTTAAGAGTTATCCAGTCCGTTTTAGTTTAAAAATCATATCTAAAAGCGGACAAATTAATAAATACATTTAAGACAAAGTGTTTAACTTTGGTTAATATAAATTATGCTATCATTTAATTTTTATATGATGATAAAGCAATACCAAAATCTCTAAAGAAGAACATATTAGTGAAGTCCTATCTTAGCTCCCATTTTTACTCCTTCATGAAAACCCATTTATCCACCTACTGTCATTTTTTCCTGCCCATTATATTGTCACTTAAGCTGTTGTTGGCTCAGAGATTACAATTAGGACATTTAGGAGGCTTATAAAGGGGTGTTTGACAGATTGAGCATCTGCAGTTGATCTGGCTAACGTAAGAGATTTTGATGCTCAATAATCCAGGGGGGAAGGAATAAACCTTAGGAGACCAAGGCACTAATTAGAATCTAACGGTGGAAAGCTTCATTTTCTGGTATCTTGCTGTTCCTTTTCTTGGAATCACATTATTCCTCACATTTATGTCCTATATCAATACCCATTCTTCATCTGTTCCAAATCAAAGCTAGAAGATTACATTAAAGGGATTATGAGAACGTTTCTACATTGCCCTTTCACAGGCAGGATGGCACTACTAACTCCCTCCGAAAGGGAAAGAAGAAATAGTCTCCTTCCACCCACCCTTGAACCCTCCCTCGAGAGAGAAAGCACAGTCTCCCAAGGAGCAGCAATTCTAATCCCCCCAGCCAGGGACTCTGGGGAAGGTGTGTTCTTTGGAACTCCACTCGCGGTAGCGATGCCGAGGTTCAGCAGGAGCACTAACTGGAGAAGTCAATTCATCCAAGGTTACGATCTGGCCTTATAAACCGCCCTCATCATCCATAAGCCACACACACGGTGTTAGGTTTTACATACAGGTAAAGGGATTCTTTGGCCAAGCAGGATTGCTGAGAATGATAACAAAAGTAAATATTAACTTTACCTGAAAAATAAGTTTATAATCTTTGAAGAGATCTATATTTACAAGATCCTTTTTAAGATGAGAAGGAAAAATTAAGACATCATAGCAGTGTTGGTCCACAGCAAACACTTTATCATCAATATGCAATATGGATTTGACTTTATGATAGCCTTTCGTCTTCAAATCATTATAAACTTCTTCAGGGCTGTGAATATACAACATTAGGTTGTAATTATAAACATAATACATTAAAATGTGTTTTTAACACACTTTTTTGTGCAACAAAGAAAAATATCAGTGCAAACATTGCATGTAATGGAACCCACAATCTTAGCCAAGAGTTAAGCTGAATGAGATAGAAAAGTTATTATATTTATGTGACTACCTTTGGTAATTTGGCAATAAAATCTGAAACTAAACCATGATTATTTAAACATTCCCCACTAAGCAGTATTTCTTATTACATTGTTTTAAAGAGATGGAGACTTGAGATATGAATTAGAAATATGAAGAGCTTAATTAAAATACTTCACCTTCAGGAAGGCATTTGACTTGGCAGTTAAAAAAAGGTTTGCATCTCACACTGGAGTACCTGGGAGCCGGGCCTCCAGTTCCCTGCCAACACATACCCTGGGAGGTAATGGCTCAAGTCGCCCACATTAGAGGCCCAGATTGAGTTCCCAGCTTCTGACCATGGCTTGGGCCGGTTGCAGGCATTTAGGGAGAGAACTACCGGATGGGTGCTTTCCCTATCATTCTATGTGATCTCAAATACATTAAAAAATAATAATAATTAAAAAAAATCTCCTACCTGATTTTACAAGTGTTTATCCAAGCATAAAGTGGCAAAGTGGAGGCCCGTAGCTCCTGCTTCCTGACCGTTTCCGGCAGAATGTGGTAAATGGAAAGGGCGTCATGTTTGATCCGACATCTTGCCAACGCTGCTGCCAACTTTGTCTTGAAACTAGACAGAGAATCCGTTCCTGATGACATCTGAGACAAAGACTATCTGTTTCCACTAGAAACTTACAGATGACAATAAGAATTTTAACAAATGTTTTCTACAATTCCATTTGAAATTTCTGAATTATAAAATAAAAATTTGTCATATTTGAATATAGAAATGTAGTAATGCTAGTTTCCTTTTATCATTTTAGTTGCACCATAATGTTGCATGTCTCCTCAGATATTGATGTTGATTACTGATTTGAGAAGGAAGTTTTAGTTAGTGAAACCATGTAGGATTTAGACAAAGGTGGAGTTAAATCCAGGTTCTGTGAGAGCTGTGCGGCAGTGTTAATCTTCTCTCTTAGCCTCAGCTTTGTCACGTGGTTAGGGTAGTCAGTACAGCTGGTGACTGACGTAGGGAATATGTTAGGTGTGCAAAACAGCCCAGTGCCTGGCACACAGCATCTGCCATCACAGTCCTGATCAGACACTCTGATGAGTCTGGAACAAGTCCTTGCCTGTCTTGAATACTCTATTCCTCAAAATTCCACATGACAAAATCAGTATCATCAGGAATACTCAATGATTTCAGTTGATCTCAAAGAGCAGATTTTTAAGAAATGCAAATACAGGATTTATTCCTAAACCTTATTCATGGCAGGTTCACAGCAGGAGCATCTTGGCATAAACCTCCAGTGTAACTGTGAATGAGAAATGGGGACCAGAGGCCTGAGAGTCAAAGCCACCTGAGCTGTGCTGGATGTGGGATACAGGCCCCAGGGGATTCGCTCAGGGAAGAGGTGGCAAGTTCTCCTGAACCACTTAAAGAGTAGGGAGGCAGAACCGGGGAACAAATGAACACCGTCTTCTGCATCTTCTGCCTGCAACCTCCCTGGTTATAGTTTTGTATCCACTCACCATAAGGAGAACTGCAAAAAATATCTTTGTGAGACTACACGTGCCTGCACGAGAGACCCACAGACACAACAGGGACACTTTGGACCTCAGCAGGAAGCCTTTGTGGAATGGGGGATGGGGAAACAAGCAAACTGGGTTTGCTTAGTTCTGTCTCTAAATGTCACAACAGCGGGAAATACTGTAAATGTAACACAGTGCATTTGCATACATCAAAGAATACATGAAGGGATGAGTTATTGGTCTGTGTTATACACTGGGGTATTGATGAGCACAGACTATCTGTGGTTACGTAGTACTTCCAGACTCCTTACTTAAGATTTACCATAAAAAGTGAGAGAAAGAGAGAAAAGGCAGAAAGATCTTCCATCCCCTAGTTCACTCCCCAAATGCCTGTGGAGGTCACAGCTGAGCAGATACAAAGCCAAGAGCCAGGGGCCTCTTCCCTCCCTCTGCTGCCCTCCCAGGCCTTTGGCAGAAGCTGGATCAGAAACGCTGCAGCTGGGACTGGAACCAGCACCCCTGGCACTAGCCCCAGATTTTAGTTCCTCTTTTATTTCCATTTTTCCATGAACTGTATCAGTTCCCTTAGAGAATCTAAAGTATTGAAACTTTTAAAGATGTATTTAAATCAAACTATTCAAGAAAAGGTGGTAATTATGATGTTTCTTCTTTGACTACTAATAACCAAGTACTGTGGTCAGATGGTGACTATAAAGATTAAAGCTAATTTCTATCCCCGGGTGATAAACACACACTGGTATAGCACAATATGGCCAATGTCATCGGATTTTAAAAAGGTAAAGAAGAAGGTAAATGTAATTAAATCAGCCCAAAGGAACTTCTAAGAGAAATGTGTGCTAACTATTAAAGGAAGACCAAGAATTTTCCAAACCTCAATAGGAAAGATGAGATACAAACAACACATGAGTTTTGAAACACAAAAGGAGAAGACATACAGACAGGGCAGAGAACCGCAACAGTATGGAGGTGCTAAACAGTAGATTTCCTGAACAGAGAGCAGCCAGAGAGCCAAAGCTCAAATCACAAAGAATTTTTAAGATTTTTAAAAATTTCATTTAATTTCTTTTTTGTTTTATTAAACATTTCATTTCATTTAAACACAAAAGTATAAAGAGAAGAGAGAGAGAAAGATTGTCTATCTGCTAGCTCACTCCCCAAGTGGCTGCAACAGCCAAGCTGAGCTGATCTGAAGCCAGGAGCCCGGAGCCTCTTCCAGGTCACCCACGCGGGTACAGGGTCCTGAGGACTTGGACTGTCTTACACTGTTTTCCCAGGCCACAAGCAGGGAGCTACATGGGAAGTAGAGCAGCCGGGGCATGAACTGGCATCCAGGCTTAGCCCACTACACCACAGTGCCAGTTCCTATATTTCTATTTTTAATATTGCAGAAATTTCTTTTGTATTGGCATAAATGAGAAATGCTTTCCTTTTTTAAGATGATTGCTATTTCATGTCTTTGGTTGCTAACTGCCTGTGTCCTTGGCCACAGATACCGGAGGTAAGGGTGCATACCTGACCCACGCCAGGACAGAGTCATTTTCTGGGGGGAGCAAAGGCAGGAAGCCAGTTCTTCCAGGCATCGGTCCTGCCACATGCAAAGGCTGGCAGCCAAGTCCTCCACCCCAGGATCACAGAAAGATAAGGGAATGGAGCCAGAGCACGCGGAGGGGCAGAGGCTGGGGCAGCACAGGGTCCAGGAGACCCGGAGCTCAGGGCCTGGCTGGTGGAAGCCCAGCCGCCTGACCGCCCTCCCTGCTGTTGCAGGCTCACATCCTCCGAGGTGCCCCGGATCCATTCTGTCATTGGTTTAATCTTCAGCTGCAAAAAGGAATCCTAACTTGTAAACCATTTCATCCTGTTAATTTTTAATGAAATAGACGCAAGTCCTTTTTGACTTTAAAATGTTCAGGAAGGCTTAACAATAAACAAAACTGTCCGATTTTGGAGTGTTGTTAAGCTCTCTGTTGACAAACTGAATATTTTCTTAATGCCAAAAGTCATCTTTGGGTAAGTTGTTTGAATTTCCAAGAAGCACGTAATGAAATCAGCGTTCACACTGACCTGCAGGTGACATCAGCGAAGATCCCCAAGAAGGGGCAGGGAGACTGTGACAGGTACAAACCCACAGCCCAGGGGGTTGGGAACATTTTTGACAAAGGAAATGCTCTGGAGCATTATGGGGGAATGAGAGAACTGCGGAGAAAAGCAACGTATCTGAATAAATGTGATTCTTTTTTTCCTTGACTCAGCAAGACCGCTCTTTCCGACTTCCCTCCTTACAGTTCGGAAAGTACCTCTAGGCAGAAAGCCAGAACTACCCTGAGCTCATCTTATTTGTTCTCATTCTCTCAGGGACCAAGTTTCTGCGCTGCTTCTTGTCTGATGTCCAAAAACCTCTACCACATGTATTTTGCCCAGTTTTCTGGTTGTTTAAAGCAGGAGGATGAGGCTGATCCAAGATACTCCATCATGACTGTATAATGACATTCTTTAAAATTATCACTCTCTCAGCTACAGGGAATGGATCACAGCAAAGGAGTTATTGGCAAGGAAACCAACGTGGAAGCTATTAGAAGGTCCAAGTCATAGATTACACTGGCATGAACTTGGACAGCAGCAGTGAAAAATGGAATGCTTTTTTTTTTTTTTTTGAGGCTACAGATCACTTGATGCATGAGACACAGTATGGGTACGGGAGAGGGCAGGGATGGAGAGTCAGGATGATGACTGTGCAGGTTGTGATGCCTTCATTGTGATGTGGCAGGCCGAGGTCTCATGGTGTCTCATGAGTCTCGTGGGGTCATGGGGTTCCCCCTCCATGGGCTCCTCCTCTCCTCCCCTGCTCCCATCTTTGTCTATCTGTTCCCAATTCTTGCCCCACAAAAGTTTAATGTGTTATTTAGCACAAGTAGAGTCTTGGGCTGGGAACAAAACATGGGGAACAAGAAGCTAACATCTCTTTTAAACCTGGTCAGAAGTATTATGACAGTTGCATTTTATACGTGGATTGACTTCTCAAAGCTTTTGCCTTTGTGAATAATACAGTGGACTCCATCTTGGGTTATACCACTAAAGCTATGAAGAAAAAGAAGACACAAACCAGTACCCAGAGATCCAAGAATGATAAAACATGAGGTGCATGCAAGGGATAACAAGAGTCCCACACAGTTTTTCTAAGAAATTAACCATTTTTGTTCAGGTTTCTGCTCATTCTTTCTTCCTCATAAATTAGAATGTGTCATCTCAGTTGACACATACTAAGGTATACTTTAACCTTATAAGGGTTCCACTGTGTTGGGAACAACATGGTCATCCCCTAAGCCCCAGACCATCTAGAGGGGCTGGCTCCCAGCAATCTTGTTTGTAGATTACAACCCTACCCTGCTGCTATAGGGAATTGGCCTGGGGGATGCACACGACCCAGACTGAGCCAATCAGATTCCTTCTCAGGGGGATTTAGAACTGGGATGTCAAGGCAATCAGCTGGTCTCAGTAACCTACAAACTTATGCCTTGGGCTACAACAGTGGGAGTTTTTCCAAGTACAGCAAAGGCACAGAGAAGCCACTGTTGTTGCTATATTGTGGTTTCCATTCAAGTTTAAACACAAGAATCAGAACTGTCTTAACCTGTGGCCACAACAGAATATATGTGAGACTGGGTAATTTATAAATGACAGAAATTTATTTCTCACAGTCCTGGACGCTGGGAAGTCCAACATCAAGGCCCTAGTGTCCTGGAAGGGCTTCTTCCTTCCTGCACAAGGTGGCAGAGGTTGGAAGGCAGGAGCACCAGAGCAAACCTCCTGGCACGAGGAGGCCCTTTTATGGTGGCACTGAACAACTGGAGCAGTGGAGGAAAGAGGGGAGCAGGGTGCAGCCCTTAGGTCCTGGACGCTTCCAAACACTGTCACACCAGGGATGACCTTCCCAGTGGATGAATTCCCGTGGACACAGGCAAATCACAGCAAAGACTGGCACTTCACTTGTACTGAACATTTACTACATGCTTGGTTTTTAAACTGAGCATTTTATAAACATTAATTTAACTAGTTCTTTGACCCTACCCCCACTTTTAGGCAAGTGCTACTTATTGTCCTCCTAGGAGGCTTCTGCTCATATTTAGGGTAAAAAGATCAAATGAAAAGATGTTAATTTATTCTTAATGAAGCCAAAAACACTTTTAAGTTTGGTAAAATAGAGGATTCTTGTCCACTGTTAGCATTCTATCACTTGATACAGGTTAGATTTTTTCAAGGTAGTTCTGAATGAACCAAAGTAAATAAACAGGGGCTGTTTCACATAAGCTTTATGTAATTGCTAAAAGTATCAAGAATTTTACATGATTTTCCACATGCTCACACATTCAAGCCTTCAAAAACAATTTAATTTTTAAAGAATATTGAACCCATTCAAGACTATTTGCTCAATAAATTTCAGAACATTTCCATTCCTCTCCTATAACATTTTCACCTTTATATACACATTATACTGAATTTACCAATAATAAACAAAATCAGTATTGATTTATTACCTGTTAAGAAGGTTCTCTACTTCTTGAACTTCTGATAAAGGCTCCTCGTTATCAGAAAGGACACGAGTTTGGAATTTTCTATCTTGGAAATCATACAGCATCACGATGATAAGACTGTTCAAGTGGTCTGGCTACCAAGGGGAGACACACAAAAAGAACAGTATACACACAACGTCTGCTAGCAATAGCTTCCATTCCATCACGTTTCATAACACATCAGGAGGGAAACTGCCTTAACACAATCTGATTGGGGTAGAAAATAAGGAGGTTTGCAAAATAGAAAAAAACCAGTAAAAATCATTTGCACCATATTCATGGAAGTGAACAAAGTCAGTATTAGAAGTAGAGAAAATTCTGAAGAAGTCTCTGTATTCAGTGAACTAGTTATGATTTCAATCTGAAGGCAATCTAATACCCTCAAAAACTAATCATTAAACAAACTACTAGGAAGACAAACTACTTCTAAGAGTTGTGTACTTACTATTGTCGTACTGGGAAAGATATAGCTGTCTATTAACATAGTTTCCAAAATGTCTTGATCTGCAAATCAAAGGCAATACCTGTTACTCAGACACCAAAACTGAAAGATATGAATCAAAGCTCTGGAATCAGAATACACTGTAACTTATGCTATAAATGACTTACTTGTTTTTCCTTAAGATTTCTCTTTCTACTTCGGATGTGGGAAATCTAGAACAACAACTAGTCTGGGAGCAGAGACCCCAGTTTTCGCAGGAAGTCCTTTGCAGCTCAGCCACCAATCACAGCTTCAGATCAGCTCAGCCCCAGCCATTGTGTCTGCTTGGGGAGTGAATCATTGGATAGAAGAGCTTTTTCTGTCTCTCCTTTTCTCCATAAATCTGCCTTTCAAGTAAAAATAAATAAATCTAAAAAGGATGCCAGGTAAGATATCTGTGCCCTGTACCTGGGTTATAGCTCTGGCTCCAGACTCCAGCTTCCTGTCTATGTGGACCCTGGGAGGCAGTGATGATATAGTACAAGCGATTGAGTTCTTGAAGCCTATATGGAGACTTAGACTGAGTTCCTGTTTCCGTCTCTGGCCTCTGATTGTGGCAGGCATTTGGAGCTTGAACTAGTAGATGGGAGATCTCTTTGTCTTTCTGTTCCTCTATCTGTCAAGTAAACAAAAGTTTTAACACATACTAACTGCATACTTTATATAATGCTACCTAGTGGTAGGTGTTGTTCTAAGTGCTTTTCATCCCTATGAATTACTATGCCTATTTTGTAGCACATGAGGCACAGCATGGTTTCTTCCTCTCATTGGTCCTAAAATCAGCTGCAAGAGGAGTCTTAATAACTGAAACTCCCCAAGTCTCTCTGGTCATCCATCCCATTCTGAAGGAAAGATGGACAGTGTTACTTAACTCCCCCACAGGTTCTCTCTGCCTTCCACAGGTCCCTTCATGTACAGGACTGTAGAACCTTCTCTCCTGAAGGCAAATGCCCTGGTGTGCTGCAAGGTAAGTGCTGGGTCGGGAGGGAAGGCAGCACTTTTACGATGAACAACCACCAACACTTCCTAAACATCTATGAAGTCGGTACCAAGGGACAGAAGCTGGCATCATCAAACACAAAATCATCATGTGACTTAAAAAGTTCAATAGGAAGGGGGTTATTATTCTACTACCCTTTCAGCCAGATGGACTCTTCTGTTTTACCCTTTCTGCTAGGTGCTTGGTGCTTTTTTGTTTGTTGCTTATTTAAGGGGGAGCAGGGAGAGAGCGTGCTCTTCCATCCACTTGGTTCACTGCCCAGACGCCAGCAGCAGTCAAGTCTCCCACATGGAGGGCAGGGACCTAGGTACTTGATTGCCCCATCTTCTGCCTCCCAGGATCCACATTAGCAAGAAACTGGAATTGGAGGCTCAAACTCCAGGATATGGGGGTTGCAGGCATCCCAAGAAGCATCTTGAACGCTGTGCCAAACACTGGCCCCTCTGCCGGATTCTTTAGGTAAATCACTTATTCTCTTCTTGAGCTTTGCCCATTTTTTTCCACTGGCAAAAAGAGAGCTGTTGATTTCAAAGGACTTGTATATCAAATAATATAGTGTTCAAGTTTCTGCGTGAAACAGCCTACACACAAACGGGACATCCACGAGCAGCTGACGGTAAGGCTGAAAAGCATAACACACAACTCAACGAAGTACATTTGCCCTTAGTATTTGAAGAAATGTTCCTGTTATTGCCTTCTGCCTCCTCAAAAAACATGGAAATGTGATCTTATTACCTGTTCACAAACTCCCGAAGGAAAGGGCATGTTACCCAGGTCCTACTTAATTTGAACAATAAATAACCTGCCCAGCTTTACTCCCTAAACCCTCAGAGAAGAAAGCCCGAGTTTTCTCTTCTGAGCTGTAACTCCCTGACCGCCAAACGTATAGTGCGGGTACACCTTTACCAACTCTCACATGCCAAAGTGACTCGGAACAGACAGGAGATAAGCATGAAATGTACAAGGGCCTTAATGTTTTCAAAGCAAAACATCAAGCTCCTTATTATCTAGGCAAACCTACTGCATTTAGGAAATCTAATTATAGTTTATCTGAATATTCCAAAGTTGGTCAACAATTGGAAGAAATATTGTATTACTACAATATTTCTAACATGTAAACAATACCATCTTATAATTTTAACTTTTTTAAAAATAAGTATTTCAAAGAAACATCTGTTTATAAAGTCCTCTGATCATGATCTATCTGATGATGATTTCCTGGATTATTAAAATCCATCAGACCAGGTTTTGCATTGTGGTGTAGTGAGTTAAGCTACTGCCAGCAAAGCTAGCATCCCATGGGGTGCTGGTTCATGTCCAGGCTGTTCTGCTTCCAGCTCAGTTCTCTGCTAATGGCCCAGGGAAGATGGTCCAAGTGTGGCCTTCTGCCCTCCATGTGGGAGACCTGGAAGATTTGGGTCTGGTTCATCTCCGGCCATTGCAGCCACTTGGGGAATGTAGCAGCAGATTAAAAGCTCTCTTTTGACCATTCTTGTGTGCATATGTATCTGTAACTTTCAAAGAAGAAATAAATCTTAAAGAAAATCTATCAAGCCATCACAAAACCTTTTTCTAAAACAGAAAATAGAATTGAGATAAAGAAAATGATAATCTACTACACTGACCACTATTAACACATCAATCTAGCTAATGCATTTACAGAGAATACCTGAAGCTTCTATAATTTATTTCAAAAGGTTTGGCTCAATGTCCTTTTTTTTTTTTGTAGCATTAACATTGAGAACTGGCCAGTTAACATGCTGGCCCAGTCTGCAAGGACGAAGTGTAAAGATGTCCATTTGGCTCACTGTGTGACCTTTGGCTGTGGAAGGGTGGGGAGAGAACATCATCTGAGAGATTACATTGCCGGAACAGCGACTGTTGCCAGGCTTAAAGGACAAGAAGCCACGCAAGTGGAAAGAAGACAAGGAAAGGCAGAGTGCTTGCCTCTTGATGTGGCACCTGTTCTCTGTGATGACAAACCTCTGTCTAAAGAGTCAGCGGGGCATTTTAATTCCATCTGGCTCCTATGTGCCAGCCCCTGTGAGTGGCACTAAGGAAACGGGCAGGTGTTACTTTAGGAAGCTGGGTCTCATGGAGCCACGCTGCTGACACGCTCAGCGTTTCTGGAACTGGAGGAAACTGCACTGAGTTTACACAGCAGTTTATAGTCACGGCTTAGAATGAAAAGACAACTGTCCCCGGGGCCTTTTGACTGGAACCTTGAGAAAGAAATCGATACACAGACATATATAATTACCCACCAGGCAGTTAGGAAGGGCAGTTCTCAAGTTTGGAACCTCAAAATGATTGGCTATAAATGCAACAATCTCAGATGGAGCTGGCTTCCTTTTGATAACTGTTTTCCTTGTCTGCCATCTCGGTTGCCCGCCCCACCCTCTCTTGCTGGTTTTGTATCTGTGAAAGTGCATGAGCTACAACACGAGCTGGGAACCCCGGGAATGAACGGAAGGACCAGGGCGAGGGAAACCATCCAGGATGCTCCGTAGATGCTTGGTCTTGCTGCTGGGCGCTGCCTTGCTCAGGTTAGTCACTATGTACCACAGTATCTAATGAGCAGCAGCTGTGCTTGGCTCAGGGACTGCCTTAAAGAAATAAACTACTCAAGCAGAACAGTTCTGGGCACAAAGAATTAGAGTTACAGGATCATCCCTAACTCCTAGAAGTTTACAGCGGACCTGGCAGGTGTGTGGGGAGCCGGGTGGAGGCAAGGAGGAGCATAGTGCATTCCAAAAATTCTCTCGGTAGTATCTGCTTTAGTGCTGCTCTTTCAAGACCACTACTCACACTTTAGGGCACTGAAGGCCAGCTCATAGGACAACCGCTGTAAGGCCTCATCCGTGGGCTCGGGTAAAGACCGCAAGGGCTCATTCCCGTACTTTATGATGATTGTTTCCGGAGACTTTTCGACTCGAATGCCCTGAAAAATGTTTGCCGCAGTGATGTACACCGAGTCCGGATAACCAGTTTTTTCCAGAACGCCAGCTGAGCTTTTTTCGCTGGAGGCTGCCAGACCTGACAGCGCCAGGGAAGAGAGCTGGGCAGAGATCTCCTCGCTCTCTAAGGGGATCGAAAATTCCAGGCCACTGGTGGAATTCAACATGGTTGTTCCTCTGACCGTCACCACTGGAGCTCCAATTACAACTCAGATGTTCCAGGAAATGCTTTTCCTTGTATCTTCAGCATAGTCTCTGCGAGGGGGAAAAAAAGTCAATTCCCTTGGAAATAGAAAAGGAAAGGGAATATTAAAAGATTTTTTTTTTTAATTGGCTGGCCAACCAAAAAAAAGCATCCTATAAATGCGGTCCGGCCAAGCACTCCAGGAAACTTGCACACACTCCAAAAGCAGGTGCAGGGGCGGAGGGGTGCCCCGACGCACCCACAGCCTCCCGCCGGCATCCAAGCGGGCGCCCCTTGCACCGGCTGCCGCGTGTCAGGTCCTTACCCCGAGGGCAGGTGTTTTCCTGGATTTGAGGGACGGAGACGCAACATCCGCGGTACTCTGGGTACCGTAGGCTGGTGTCGCTCTCAGGCCCCAGGGGCGGCGGTGGTGGCCCCGGAAAGCCGTTTGGTTCCAATGCAGCCACTCCCACCGGCCGGGTGCAGGTCAGGGGGACCGGCCTCCGGCGCACCGTGAGCTCGGCGTCCTTTTAAAACACAAGCGAACCCCCGCACCGGCCCTGCCTGACCTCACGCGCCCGTCTTCGGCGGGAGCGGCGGCGGAGAGAGGTGAGCGCGGGAGCCGAGGACGGCAGGCCGAGACCGGGGCCGCGCCGGCCTCCCTGGACGCCCGCGGTGGGCCGGTCCAGCGCCCGGGTCTCCACGGCGACCGGGAAGCGTGGAGGGGCGGGCTGGGGCGCGCGCGCCCGGCGGTTCCCGCGGGATTTGGCGCCCCTTCCTTCCGCGCGTGGGGCGACCCGGGCGGCGGCCCCGCCTCGAGGCCCGAAGGCCGGCCGCGCACGGTGGACGGCGTCGCCGGGCCCGGAGCGCCTGCTCTTGTCTTGGCTCCGAAAGGCTTTTTTCCAGGTTGGTGTGGTTCGGTTGTTTTCAACTTTGAAAGTACTTGGGTGGTGGGGAATGCTGCTGAAGTTCCCGGAAAAACATAGCGCTCCCCCGGAATCCCCAAGAGTCCGACTTTACTTCCCAAGAGGGGGCCCCAGGAATTCACATTTTCCAACCCTTAGTCTGGGTGATTCTGACTCAGCCGTAGCAAAGACCAGGTTTTGAAAAAGCTGGTGTAGTCAAGACTACTGGTTTGTTTTCTCAACTATGAACATGGATTAATGGTCCCTGTTTACTTTGCACGTGAATGGTGATATTTGAACCTTCTATCAACACACCTGCCAAGCAGTGTTTTGTATTTTGTTGCAGGACAAAATCTGAATCTTATAACAAGGAGGAACCCGGTTTCCTGGGACCTGGTCCTTGCCTGCCTTAGCCAGTCCCCACATTTCCAACCTTTTTGTTGCTCCCCGATCTTGAAAGCCCCTCCTGTGCACCTGCTGTCCACAGGCATCAGCAGCTTTTCCTGAAACTATTATTTGTTGGGTAAATTCAGCCTTGGCCACAGAGGCCCAGAATAAGCCCCTGGCTCAAACAAAACAGGAATGTATTCGTACCCCAAATCGTGCGGGCCTCTTGGTTCTCTGCACTAGCGCCCCACTTTGATTTTCATCTAGGGATTTGCCTGGAAAATCAAAGTCGAAGCTGATTCAGTTGAAACGGCCAGCCGGAAGACTTGATCGGCTTTTCTGCACACCTGAGTTTTGTTACAGGTTCTATACTTTTCTTCCAGGATGAGTACTTACATTGAATGAGCTTTAAGAGCAGCATGGATTTATGTGTGGTTATCGATCACGATGAAAATCAAAGACTGCCTCCTTAAAAAGCAGAGAATACCAGGTAAGAAAGGGGGATACACAACATTGCCGCATTTGATAACCTAGACACAGGGAGAGGCAGACAGTGGCGTCCCTAAGACATAAAGCTCGTGCTGTCCTAAGGTGCAGTAGGTGTCCTCCTTGCCCCCCACTGAGGTCTCAGCTGTTGCCCTTTGTTGGAGGAGTTGGACTGGGAAGCAGCTGCAGGGCATCTGCCAGCTCACACAGCATTTGTGATCCTCTGCCCTTGGCCACTTGTTCTAGAACAGCATACCGCCATGTCCTGTTCCAGCTAGTTGATAGAAGGATAAGAGGGAGAGCGAGGTATGCCTGTGCCTCTCAAGGCCATGATGTAGAAGGTTCCCACGTCTCCTGTGCTCACGTTCCATTGGCTAGAACTTGGTCACGTGGAATACCTAGCAGTGAAGGTTGTTGGGAAATGTGGCTGCTAGAGAATGAAGGAGTTGCTACTGAAGACGGAAGACCGACTAGATCTTGGAGGGACACTAGCAGCCTCTGCTTGCAAGCCTGTGTTCCATGGCCCCTTCCACCCAAGCCCACCCACTTCCATTTTCCTAGGTTGTCTTACGTGTCCTCCTAGGTATCCCCACAACCCTGTGTTGGTGCATAACTCCACTCATTGATAAATTTTACAAGTATACAATTGCATTTTTGTTATTTGCTTGGCACCATGTGCAGCCCTGAGTGTAAAAAGTGAGTATACAGAAGTGACCAGGAACTAACTTGTATTTTGGCAAACTTTGATTTTATTCTATTTGTAACATGCTTGTATTTCCCCTGCTCCTGCCTTGTCTCTAACCCGTATAACCCATGTCTTGTTATATCTTTTCTGTGTGTTACCTGTGTTTTTGTGGCCAGCGGTGAGATTGCTGCTCTCACACATGGATATTCATAGATGGTTACAAAGATGCAAAGCTTGGTGTTTTATCATGCCTCACCCAGTACAGTCAGCAGAAAAATGAAACAATGACTATAACACAGAAAATATTATGGACTTGCAAAAGATCACTTGAGGAGCTTCTTTTTATTCTTTGGCACTCAACCATATTGAAAATAAGATTTGATTAGAGAATTTCTAGCCCCAAGGTAGAGCTTAGGCCAAAAATTATGGGTTAACGATTTCATGGTCACTATTTACTTTTAATCATGTGTCTAATCCTGCCTCCCTGCTTCTTATTTCTGCCTTACAGTCTCAGCTGTGGACATAAGGTGTTGGAAAGGAAGATTAGATGAGAGATTATTAAATTTCAGTGAGCACTGTAAAAAGTAACCATAGAGATGGGTGTGTAGATTCAACTGTTGTGAGAGGGACAATAAAACACATTCTTGGTTTCAGCTATACTTTGTAATATGAGCAGAACGTTAGATCAGGGATAGCACAGAAAATGATGAGTTAGATACTCAGGGCTTTCTGCCAAAAGAATCTAAAAGGAGTGATTTTCTTTCCCTAGGAGGTGGGATATTTGAACTGTGTATCAATTAGCATTCCTTGCATTTAACCCCAAGTACCAATGCATGTTAGCTATAGGTATTCTGAAGATATTTGCTCACTGACTTCCATGTGATCTGAATATATGAAATTGTGCCCAGTCCAACTGAAGCCAGTTAGAGAAACGTAAAGACATATGAAACAAGGTATTTAAACTTAGAGTCCTAAACACCAGAACTGGATTTCTAATCATTGCTACTTAGGAGTAGTATGATTAGTTTTTGCTGCAGCACTTCTCATTTTTAAATGATATAACATTATAGAGTGGAACTCTGCACACCATCAGACATCCCATTTGTGGGAGGATCCTCAGGGTGGCTTAGATCAGGTGCATCAGGTACATACTGAAATGGCCCATCCCCAGAGGCGAGAAGGAAAAGGTTCCCCAAAGGCATCATCTTAGGCCAATGTCCTCTTCTGATGGAGGTGGCAGGGTTGGTGTGGAAGACGCCATGAGTCCAGTGTCCTCCTGCACTGTCCTGGTAGAAACGCACCCCTCAGAGGCTCAAAAAGAAAATCATATGCGGATAATGCAAAGATCCCTTTGGGAAAATCCAATATATGATTGTGGGTTCTCTCAAACGGGATCATGAGAATTAGCCATAACCTCCTGTGGCCTGAGGAGGTAGGAGAAATGCATCCTTTTTTTGAAGGCACCAGAACACCGAGATGGAACATAGATTCTGGGAGGGTGCTGCAAGTGGAGAACCAAACTCCAGATCTGACAGTGCAGGGATAGCACTAGAGAAACGCCCCTGAGATTCAGAAGCCAAAAACAAGGGCAGTTAGGGAGGGGGTTGAGTGACTTGAGGTGCAAGGGAGTTACCTTCCCAGCCCTTAACGGTCTGATGAGGCCTAAAGGAAGCAGGATGTGGCAGAAGGGTACTTTATTGTAAGGATGAATCTTCTTCGTCTGTTGTCAGTTCACCTCTCCAAATGTTTGCAGGAACCAGGACTGGGCCAGACCAAAGCCGGGAGCTGGGAACTCCATCTAGCTCTTGCATGTGACAGGAACCCAGGTGCTGGGGCCACATCACCTGCTGCTGCTTACGGTGTGCGTTAGTGGGAAGCTAGAGTCAGGAGGAGCAAAGCGGGGATTGCACCTGACACTGTCGTGTGGGATGTGGCGTCCCTCGCTGTGACTTAACCACTGTATCACATGCCCACCCCTGCAAGTACTTATATAAAGTCTGTACCAGTACAGTTTTTTTTCCCCAGAATTGGTCATCCAAGTGGCACCTTTATGGTAGTTTTTAAATGTTTATTTTGTTTATTGCAAAGACAGAGTTACAGAGAGAGAGACAAAAAGAGAATGGAGAATTTTCCTTCTAATGGTTCAGGGCTGGGTCCAGCCTAAGTCAGGAGCCAGGAGCCTCATCTGAGTCTCCCACGTGCAAACTGCAGTGACCCAAGGCCACGGTGGGCCATCCTCTATGGCTTCCTTGAGTTCATTAGCAGGGAGCTGAAAGAGGAGCAGCCAGGACTGAATTCAGTGCCCATGTGGGAAGCAGATGTGGCAGGTGGCAGCTTAAACAATTAGGCCAATAAACCAGTCCTCTTAATGATATTTTTTATCATGCCTGTATGATACCATTTATATTTTTCCTCAATTTTTAAGAATTATATTTATTTGCAAGGCAGAGTTTCAGGATCAGAAGAATTGATTTGATAATAAAGGCACATTGATGAGGTTTTGATGCAGTCTATTGTTAT